GCGTCCCGATGCAGGAAGCTCTGCTCCGATAATGCACCTTACTTGCTGCTCGGCTTTTATGCATCATCTGCTATCTCGCGAAACACTTGACAAGTGGTGGGCGTAGTACAACTGTGACCAACCGAGCCCCAAACCGGGATTTTATGGTCCACACTCGAGTCACTTTGATCTTTGTCCCGTTGTATCCTAGCAACCAGGTATTTTCAATACAACTGATTTAGGTGTAATGCAGGTCCTCTCTCCCCTGAACCACCAGTGAACCTTTTCAATTGGCAGATGCAGGTGCAGGGGCGGGTGAGAGGACGGAGGGAGGTCCATGAAGAAGACGAGGGGAGAGGAGAGGGCGAGGAAGTGTCTGTGGACCATGGTTATTGAAAAGTCCGTTGCTTTGGATTGAGATTCTTAAAACGTTTACAAGTGAACAAGGGTTAAAGGACGGAAAGAGAGGATATCTATAGGAATCGAGATCGGGATTTACCGGTGGGTTTAACACATATGATGCAGAGAAAACACTCGGCCAGTGTCATGGGACGCCATCAGGACAATACACACCTCCCCAAACAGGTACAGCATTGGTTAAACTGGAGTCCCTCTTAGTTTGGGTGTATGGGCTTTGTCTGTGCAGGAAAAAGCCATTTAATCAGTGATGATGAGATTGTTTAAATGGGACAACTTGAAGCAACGTCTAAATGAAGCTTCCTGAGTTTTTAGGTCATCCACTCACTGGTGTTCGTTGGCAGGAGGGTGAAGGTACTGATGAGACATTCACTGTCACTCTGTTGTCCTGTTCTGCTGGATGTGTTTTCTCACATTTACACAATGGTTTGCATAGTTTCATTGTATTCCACCTAACCTTGACTTAGGCATATTTCGCTGGCTACTTTCAGCCCTAATATCAAAGCAGTGTGAAAACGTTCTCCTTATTTAATCGTTTTGTTCTCTACGGTTGGTGTAGTAGAACTGAAACAACGGGCAGCTCCCCACTGTGGTGCTGTGTTTAGAGTTGTTGTGGATTACTTTGTGGAGGAGTCTTCCTCCTTTTCACTTGACTACATGGCCTGCTCGGGGACTCGGATCCTCTCTCTCTCTCTCTGTCTCTGTTTTAACCATCTGCCTTCATGGCTGTTCTGCCTACACACCTCCTAACTGTTTCTCAGTCGAGCGCTGTAGTACGAGGGTAGAAACTAAAAAGAATTGTGATAAAAGGGGGAAAAGGCATAAATGAAATAAGGGAGAGGGGATATAACAAATAGGATAATAGTAATTGCAAGAGTAAAAGTGTACATCCCCGTTGGAAGAACAGACAAGTATATGCGGACTTCCTTATGTGAGTTTCTTGTGCTAGTTGCCTTTTAAATCCTCAAAGTGAAGGTCATTTAATAGAGAAAACAACATTATAGAGGGGCTAGCCTGTGAAGAATCATTTTGTTCAGTGCTATTTTCTGGAAATGTTGGATAAAATGTCTTTGTTAAGGGGTTATGACCCATCTTTCTGTGCACAGTATGTCCTGTAATACTCTGAAAGCCTGACAGTCCTGAGGGGCAATTCTGGTACACACGTGTGTGTGTGTGTGTGTGTGTGAGTGTGTGCGTGTGAGTGTGTGTACACTCATCTGTTCCCACTGTTGATTTACTCATTGACCATCGCTCCGCCTGCTGTCTCCTGTGGGCCTTTACGCTGGAAGGAATCGATAACCTTCTTCCTCGCCAGGCCCCCCCACCGCGTCTCTACCAGCACGCCGCTCTGTGACGCTCAAATACTTATGCATGTTGCACTGAAAGAGCTTGCAAATGTACACATGCATCCTGGCCTTTTTTTGAAATGCTTGAATATCCCACATCAAATAGATTAATGTGACCTTAAAACAGCTAAAACACACACACACACACACACACACACACACACACACACACACACTACTCTATCTCACTCTCTGCCTGGCATTAGCTGACCTGAGACCATTACTGCCAGGTAGTAGGTAAATGTCACAATAGCAGGATGTCATAAAGCTCTGGAGTGGTCTAATGGGTTTTGTTCAGGTTGAGGTGACACACGCACACTCGCACATGCAGACACGCACTCTTCCTGGAAACGCATCTTCCTGCGTGCTTGATGCATTTACTGATCACATCACGGAGCTGGGACTTGTTTAAAGAGCTTGTGCAATCTGTCTGAGAATCATCTGTCACTTTGTTTGAACAACAGAGGCGGGGTTCTTTTGTTATTTTAAGTATAAATTTACGTTTTCCCCTTTATTCCACCTTTTTACATTTCAGAGGAAGTGCAGAAACAGATACATGTACAGAAAAGTGACTTTGTGTATGCGGAGAGAAATAATAAGTTAAAAAAAGGCAAAGATACAAGCTGGAAGCCAAAAGCCGGGGTTGCTGCTGGATGCCAAGCCGAGTAGCCTCGGGAAACGGGCAGATGGGAGAGGGAAGGCTTATGGATGGAGGGATCACGTGAGCGAATTTGCTTCATGCGTTGGCACAGCGAGGGAGAGAAGGATGCGGGAAGAGAGCTGGATGGGAGGATAAGAAAACATGACGGCTAGTTTGAATGTCCTTATAGGCCCATCTTAGCAATGGTACGTTGTTCCATGACCTCTTTTATTTAAGGCATTTTATTTGGGGTTGTTGTCGGCTTTCCTCAGGATGTGAAGAGGAAAGACGGTTACATTAGGGGGGACATTTACCGTACATCATCCAAATACTGGTCTAACTTTAAAGGCATGAAAGCATCCCGGTTGTTATATACGGCTCCATTAGGAGCATTAAAAAATAAGAAATATTTAAAATGACCTCTGAAAAGGATTGAAAATATTTTCTGTGTTTGTAAAAATATTTGTAATGTTTTGTCTCTTGTTTCGACGATCAATATCCACCACTAATGTTCTTCCTCTAATGAAGAAAATACGTTTTTAGCTTTCTGTTCCAGTCACTGTCATTCATTCCCTAGATTTTGTAATCATTCACAAAGCTTCATGACTGTGACTTGGATAGTCAACATCACAGGCGTAAGTGGGAGAAAAACTGCTTCAAAAAAATGTGCAGAATAACTGTGTGATCAGCTATGAGTCTAACAGTACTGTTTTATAACACAGTTCATCCAGAGTTCAGTGAGGCTCCAGAGCTGCAAACAAAGTTCCCTCACCTCCAACTCTCTGTGCGGTGCATAGTCCCCGTTGCAGCTGTCTGTGTTACCAAATGGTGTGGGTTTTTTTGTTTTTCTACTAATTCCGCAGAATCTATGAATCTATTTCTGTTTTGGGAGGGTGAAATTTGTATTTCTGATCCTCCAAAGCTACTTAATGAGTTGCGTATCACCACACCTCAAATCAGAAGCTAGTTAGTATGTATTTTTATCCAACCGTACTCCATTTTTTGAGTTTGGTCCCTTTCTGACTTGAAAACACAATGTGACTCATTGCTCCGTTAGACCGTTAGATTCCATAAAATATCAACCAACCAATTTCAATCAAGTTTTGGATGCATTCACATGAGTTAACTTTGCTCATTACAAATTCTGAATACAAATGAATACAAATTTTGCATTCATGCACGTACTGTACAGGTATATTCACATTTGTACGAGTCGATACAAACGTTTCAGTGTCTGGTAATTTATTATAAGCTAATGAGCAGCTTATTAGCAAACGGTGACCTGTATATGGTCGACTTTTCACATAGATGAGCTTTCAATACGATGAATCAGTGACGGCCAGATGTAAGCAGTTATTCTTTAAAGGATCAACACACACACTGTGTCCTGTTCCTCGTGATGCTGGTGTGTTTGTTGGACCCGATGACCCAGTGAGCAAAGCATGTGTCCTTGACCAAAAAGCAGCAGAACATCTAAAGCGTGCTTGACCATAGAGTTGCAGTGTTTGTTGCTGTGTGTTCCTCTGGGTTGTTGAGGTGCAGCGTACTTCCTGACTCTATGCAGACCGTTTTGGTGAATCCCAGCAGTATGAGATAAAAACCAGTTAAATATCCAGCACTGACATTTACATTCCACGGTATTAGAACAAATTAATTAGAACAAATAAATTAATATCTTAGATAGGCTTAGAGAATACATAATAACCACTGGCAATCCATTTGGTTTAAAAAGAAACATAGCACAGACTTATGTATTAATGCCTGAAGGAAAGCTTTAATGTCTCCAAGCAATGGCTCACGCTCACTGTGCAGCGTACGATCCAAGGAGGATCCCAAGTGTTCCTTCGCTTCTTGTGGAAGGCCAGGAACTAAGCGTGGTACATACAGCGAGATGTATCTGGGTCACATCAGGGATGATCTAAGCGATGATGACGATGCGCAGCTCCGGTGTAGCAAACTGTATGCAGAAGCCAATATGCTGGCAGGTACATTTTGTGTGTGTGCGGATGATGTGACGACAGCTCTCTTTAGAGCCTACTGTACTCCGCGCTATACGGCATCACCACTGGTGGTGCAGGCGGAGCGAGGAAACAATGAAACAGATTCCGGTGGTTGATGATGATGCTTTTAGAATCTGGCTGAAGCTCCCAAGATGGTTGAGGGCAGGTTACTTGTATATGTTTGTGCCTCTTAATGTTCCTGCCTTTCATGCTGTGTCATTTTATTTCCAAATTCAACCGGTTTAATGGATTGATTAAATGATTCACAAAATGTAATTGTAAAGATCCAACACACAGTGGTTCTTGGTATTCTTCTCTTTTTGGAAACATTGGAACAAATGACTGTATGTCTTTTCTCGTATTTCGTTTTGTTGTTTGTACTCATGTGTCAGAAAATGACGTTGAATTACTTTATTGCATTTTAAGACTTGAGCTAGCAATCGACATGATCTCATGGTTTGTTCCTCCTCGGGCCGCAGAACAACGTTTCATTTACAATAAAGACGGATTATTCTCTCTCTGCGAAGATAAAGAAGCTGCGATGTTTGTTCACCGCATCATCAGAGGACACGGACAAAGGATGGTCATCTCATCCTCGTCCTCTCTTCTCCTCCACAGCCGTCGAGCACGAGCGTGGTGGTGGACATCGCGGTGATGGGCGAGGCCCGCGGCCTCATCTCCGACCTGCTGGCAGACCCCTCGCTGCCCCCCAACACCTGCAGCTCTCTGAAGGCCGTCAGCAACCTCCTCGGCACCCAGATCAGCCTGCAGCCCCTCCACCGGCTCCGCATTCCTGCAGACACGCACACCTGCTCTGACTCTGAGGAGGGGCCCGAAAGAGCAGAGAGGCTGGCCATTCCAAAGGTAAATACTTACAAATGTGTTTTTATTTACATGAAAAGCCATGTTCAAACCCAATTTAGAATTTTGCTGACATAAGGGTTTAAACTTGATTTGATTGTTTACCGCTAACAGGAAGCACTGACTGTCCTCCCAGAAGGACTAAATGCCTCAAGACTGATTATAGGAATTATGTGGTCTGTTGCATAAAGCTGATTAATACAGATTGGAAAATCAACCTGAAGGTCAGGACCTCCGCAATGATCCTCAATTAACTCTGAGGCATCCAAAGATTTTTTCTTCTCGTTATGCAATAACAAACACGCTGTCATGTCGCCTTTACATTGCTGATAGAAAGGTTTTCCAAGAGGTAGAAATGAGCTGCTTACAATTCATCACAATTAAGATATTACTTCATTTGAAAAGGGTACTTTTCAAAATCCATGCAAAAAATCCATTCAGCGCAACCAGAGAATTTGTCTTTTTTTATTTATGCATTCTCCATCCTTGTGGAAACCATGCGTCTACATTACATATAGGACGTTCTATAGGACGTTCTGTTGAAATGCAGGGATCTCATGGTTGTAGCCGCTACAGAGCAGAAAAGAAGCGCGAGCTGCAGAGGTCTGGTATGCTCATATCTTTAACTCAACACCCCCGGACTCTTCTGTTGTTGAAACCCTTGATCAGATTTCATGCAGCTCCCGCTGGAGCTGCAAAAGCATCCATTTTTCTATATTTAGTAGTACTTCTAATGACTTGCAATCAGCCCTTGATGTGTAATATCGTTGGAGTTTCCCTTTAGGCAACAATTACGTTTACCACAATAAAATGCAACAAACAAAAATATATTTAAATATGTGAAACCAGAGGAAAGAGCCAGTTGTATCTAAGTTACGTTTTGTTGTATGCAGCAGAACCTCTTCTTGCAGACACCACCTCCATTTCCTCCGTCACTGCTGATGTAGTGTGGGCCTCTGAATGTAGCTAACAACGAGCCGCTGCCTTCCAGAGGGCTTTTTAATGTTTTACAAGGCCAGTGCTTCAAAATGTGTCTGTTCACTTAAGGCTGCAAGGAAACTAAATAAAGCGTGTGAAGCAATGCAGGATAGCCCACCACGTAAGTGACAAGCAGCCTTAACAGCGCCTGGCTGCACTCAAATGCTCAAACCCTCGTAGCCAAACGCAATGTGTCATTTAAGCTCTTTGCAGATTTGTGAGTTTGCATAAAGCAACTGTTAGATTTGGTGATTCGGCTCGCTGTGTCATGCTAATAGAAGGCTTTGATTAGCTTTTTTTAACTACAGGAGGGAAGTGTACCACAGAGCGCTATGCAGTCATCAGTCATGTGTGTGTGTGTGTGTGTGTGTGTGTGTGTGTGTGTGTGTGTGTGTGTGTGTGTGTTTGGGTGCGTGGGTGTGATTTATCGTCACCACGGGGGAAACAAACACCACTTTTCTACTTTCCGTTCTGTCATCCACAAAAAAACTGAACTTTTTTCCAGGATAATAAAACTTGTTGTTGTACCTGATGCTAAACTCTCTACTAGACCAAATATTGAATCAAGGAATATTTGTGAGGAAAGGTATTGGCTTTTTTCTTTCCTGTTGTATTTAGTCTCTCGCTGACATTTTTTCAAGCAAATTTTACCTCTCTCTGTCAACCTTGCCTGTCATTCTCAAATAAATCTGGTTTAGAAGATGAAATAACAGCATTGCGGAATAAATTGTATACATATATACAATAGCAGTCGCATTTACAATATACACACAGACAAGGCATATTTGTTGCAGTTTCGAAAAAGCGTGCAAACATTACTTGGTTTAAATTGCAAACCTGTTTGTTTGTCGTTATTACAGCGTATAAGACGGAGTCTGCCCCCGGGATTGCTGAGGAGAATCTCGTCAACCTGGACCACGACCACCTCGGCTACGGGTCTGCCCACCTTAGAGCCGGGCCCTGTACGCCGAGACCGCTCAGCCAGCATCAAACACACTGGCGACAGGTAAGGCTTCCGCTCCCGCTCACGCACGACAATCAACTAGGACCACGGTAGTTTTTAACTGTGACAGTGATGGGTTCTTTTTTTTTTTTAACGCTATCCATCAGTGAGTCATGGAACAACTCAGTGATGATGACCATCTCAAAGAGTCGCTCCATGTCTGCTTCCTGCGCTGTCTCCGTCACGTCCAACCACCTCCACGGCAAACCACCGGGAAGACCAGGTGTGTGTGTGTGTGTGTGTGTGCGCTGAGACAACAAGTGGAGTACGTTGAGTAAACTGAAATCAGCGTCCGTAACGCTGTCTTTTGTCAGGTTTCCCCTCCTCCAACGAGTCCCCGCTGGGCTCCCCGTGCCCGTCTCCCCCTGTGCAGGGCACGCCGGTCTCAAGCCCCACCGTCACGACGTGTTCGGTGCAGCTCCCGGAGCCGCCCGGGCCTCTGGCCGAGCGAAGCCCGGACCCTGTGGCCCACAAGAGCCACCACAAGGCTTTGACTCACAGTCAGAGCGCCCCGAGCTCCACCACCCCTTACTGGCGGCCTCCGTCACTCTGCGGCAGGTAACACAGATCCCGATCGCACACAGTGGAGTAGAGCAGGGACATTTTTTTTTGTTGTAGATTTTGTAGGATTGAAAACGGGTGCGTGTTTCTTTGCTCTCTTTCGACCAGCTGTGGAAGGCCATTCAACCACCGGCTAAATCGCAGGGCGGAATCGGCCGACAAAGGGGACAGAATACCCCATCCAGGTAAACGGCTGACAGCTGCAGGCCGCGGTAGCAGCCACCACGAGTGCGATCTACGAGTTAAAAATGTCTAACATGCGTGATGTCTCCTCAGATGAGCGCGCCGTCGCTTCCTCGGACTATGACAGCACCTACGACAGCACCTACGAGACCAACCACAGTGACAGCAGCGACTTTGCGCAGAACGAAGAGGAGGGAGAGGGAGGCAAGAAGCTGCCTGAAGCGAGGGAAGGTCGCAGCGGGTATCTGGCGGAGGGCATCGTCCTTCACCCGCTCCTGCCCTCCCCGGAGGAAGCCAGCGAGAGGATTCATCTGGTAACGGGAAAAAGACGAGTCTAGTCACGTGTGTCTATGTGTGGAATCAAACAACGATCAAAGCACGTTGTTGAGCGTCATACTCTGGTGACATAAACATTTTTTTTCCTTTCTGACCCCCCCCCGCCCCACCTTCCTCCCTCACTCCCTTTTACCTGGTAGGAAAAACCGATCTTGGCAGCGGAGCCTGTAACACTGCCAGAGCTGGAGCCTCTGTTGAGTCAACTCAACAACTGGAATTTTCCGATATTCAGTTTAGTGGAGAAGACTCAAGGCTGCATCCTCAGTCAGGTAAAGAGGGATTAGTGGGAAAATGTCGACAAACCCAGATGACATTTATATAACAAAAACACATACAGATAGTAGAACGTTCTATCAGAAAACATGTGCTGGGGAATGGGAGCTGCCTTGACAAAGCTTAACATCTGAACCTGTACAAAAAAAGATAAGAGCTAATGTGTTTTCCTCATGTTAACATCCCAGGTTTCCTATAAGCTCTTTGAAGACACAGGTCTATTCGAGACGTTCAGAATTCCTGTGCAAGAGTTCATGAACTACTTCCATGCTTTGGAAAACGGATACAGGGTCATTCCTTGTGAGTAGAAGATCTCCACTTTCTCCAATTCTTCAAGTAAAATATTGATACCTAGCATTACCTTCATCGGCCACAAGGGGGATGCATTGCGTCGTCACAGTAATAAAACAAAAGGCACACTTTTTGCTTTTAGTAATTAGTCAAATGTGCCCACTTTTATAGAAATGTCTGAACTGCTCTCTTTCAGCAAATAATAAGTAATATTAACTTACAATACGATACTGATACTTACGATCAGGATGCCTAATAGTGAGCAGCATACCAAATACCATAATGGTTCAACATGATACATTACATTACATTACAGGCAGAAGCCCCTTGTTTTTGCTTTGCCACATTCTCTCTCTGCAAGAGGCTTCATTTGTTGTTGTTTTTTTTATAGATATAAAATTTAAATTTAATAATGTTTAAAACCACTGCAGCTGTCTCTTGATCACAGTGGTTTTACCGCCCTCCACTGGTGTGAACTGGTATTTTATTTGACTCTCCCCAGATCACAACCGGACCCACGCCACTGACGTGCTACATGCTGTTTGGTACCTCACCACTCAGCCTGTACCAGGCCTGCCCACCGCTCTGACGGAGAATGGGATGAACTCCGGTGATTATGATGGATTGATTGATTGATTGACTGGTCATTCGATCCCTACCTTCACATTTACATACCATGTTTCCCCATAGTGACTGAGGAAAGTGCTGTGTGTTTTTTTGTGTTTTTTTTTCAGTAGACTCAGAGAATGGCATTAACGCCGGTGCCACGTGCTTCCTTGTGTCCAAGATGAACTCTGTGCTGGAAGACGGCTACGGCTCGCTGGCCGGCCTTATCCCCGGCCTGGAGCTCATGGCCCTGTACGTAGCTGCCGCCATGCACGATTATGACCATCCTGGAAGAACCAACGCCTTTCTAGTAGCTACTAGTGCACCACAGGTAAATCAGTACAGCAGCATGAATATTACATATATATATGTAATAAAATGCCCAACACCAGACGATAGCAGCTTACATCTTGAATGCCGAGAGTGTTGGTTTCATTTTCTCCTCTGACCTCCCGTCGTAGGCTCTTCTGTACAATGATCGTTCAGTCTTGGAAAACCATCATGCAGCTTCGGCGTGGAACCTCTTCATGTCTCGACCTGAGTATAACTTCCTGGCTAACCTTGAACACGTGGAGTTCAAGCGCTTCCGCTTCCTAGTCATTGAAGCTATTCTGGCCACGGACCTCAAAAAGCACTTTGACTTCCTTGCAGAGTTTAATGCAAAGGTAAGATAAGATATCTATAATTAAACGTAGAACAAAAAAGTTACAGTCCAAAATATATCAATGATTGTCTATTCTCAGCTTCAATTGATCAATTTGTTCTGTTCCTGTAATAAAAAATGGTCTTTTAGTCCACAACTCAAGCTGACAACCGCTAAGTGGGGAACTCTTAACAATCCATAGCTGTGTTTTCCATCTTCACATAAAGCTTCCTTTGCACATCCCCCAGGTGGGTGAAGAAGGGGTGTCTGGTATTGACTGGACCAACGAAAATGACCGATTGCTGGTGTGCCAGATGTGCATCAAGCTGGCTGACGTCAATGGGCCGCTGAAGTGCAAGGAGCTGCACCTGCAGTGGACGGAGGGGATCGTAAACGAGTTCTACGAACAAGTATGCGGCTCGTCTCCCTCAAAATCTCCCTTTTAAAGTTATTAGCATTTAGACGCCTTAGACGTGTCCCTTAGAGGCGGAGCATCAATTGATGCTTGCAGGCTGTCGGATGGTCGCCAAGGAAGGCAACGAGCACAAGCCAAGAAGCAGGCTGCATGGAGGATACGTTGTGAGGACTGTGACCGTTGTTTGGCCCCCTCGAGAAAAAGCGTGTCTGTAGGACCACATTTTTGCCAAGATACTGTGTGTGTGTGTGTGTGTGTGTGTGTGTGTGTGTGTGTGTGTGTGTGTGTGTGTGTGTGTGTGAGTGAGAGTTGGTGCGTAAAACATCATTTACTATTTACCTGAGCTTAACAGACCGACGGACATTGTTTCAATGCATCTATCAGGTCAGCTGTGGGTAAAACCCCCATGTTCTCTTATTTATTTTCTACACGTTTAAGACGGTTTTCCATTTTCCATCACTTTGACAGTTTACAATATCTCTGCTTCTCGCACATTTGCCGTGTTTTCACTCCTTCCAGGGTGACGAAGAAGCAACCCTGGGCCTTCCCATCAGCCCGTTCATGGACCGCTCTGCTCCGCAGCTCGCTAAACTACAGGAGTCGTTCATTGCTCACATAGTGGGACCTCTGTGCTCGTCCTATGACTCCGCCGCGCTCATGCCGGGATGCTGCGTTGACCTGCCTGAGGGGGAGTCCGATCCAGAAGAAGAGAAAGACGAGGAGAAAGAGGAACGCGATACAGAACAGGACGGTATGACGGATGAGGAAGCATCAACGAGTTCTAACACCTCCCGTAAGACGACCTCTTAATAATGAATGTTGCAGAAAATATCTCACAGATCTGTTAGTAATTCTTTTAAATATTTATTTACATTTATTGAAACGCAATTATAGTATTTGAGCCTTTTCATTCAATGTACTGTACCAAGAGTGATTATATGCTTGATACTGGCAATTGCTGTTATATAGTCAACATATTAATGTTCCATTTGAATAATAACTTTCTTTCTGATTTAGATTGAAAGATTGATACAACATACCTTTCTGTGGTATTATGATGATAAAACTAAGAGACAGTTGTTTGTCATAAACACAGGAAACGAGGTGAAACAGCAAGCAAATCTCTCATGTGTTAAAAAAGAAAAGAAGAATTGGCCTCCAAGCACCGCTAAGCCTCAATCAGAATGAATCATTTTTAATTGGCAATATTTAGTGAACAGAACTTTTGTAGTCTTGTTGTTAATGTGAAGTTGGGAGGTAACATTTAGGTTTTTGTGTGTATTTGACCATCGGTCAGTAAATCAAGCTTGATGATAAGCTGTCATCACATATTTAAAATACCGACATCACAATGTATGAATCCTAATCCAAACCTTGGCAAGAAAGCAACGTCACGGCCGACTTTGCCAGGATTTTGTCTAACTTCTGACTTTGTGTCCGACAGAGGAGAGAGAAACCAAAAAGGTGAGCCGGAGGAAAGTGTTCTGCCAGATAACGCAACATATTCTGGAAAACCATGAAATGTGGAAAAGAGTCATTGCTGCCGAGGAGGAGGCTGAGAGAGCCGACCCGAACTGCATCGGCAGCCCGACTGATCCAATCACATCCATTCATGAGGAAGAGGAGGAGCAAGCAAGCAAAGAGGAGTCCGTCGATGGTCTTGATGGAAGAGAAGAGGTGCCGACTATAGAGGAAGATGAAATCCTTCCGCAATCAGAGAGCTCAGGGGAAAAAGAGGAGGATCCAGAGTGATATTATGAACTTTGAACCTCCTACAACTTGGAATCTGAACGTTGTTCTGAAAATGTTTTTGTTTCTTTCCTAACTAAACTCTTGATATGGTAGCCAGCACATCACTTTGACACAACACTGTAGAAGATCTTTTGGGTAATATGTGCCTAACCAAAACTGGGAGGACAGGGATGATGCATGCCCAGTTCATCTGATGAGAAGACAGTAGTAGTAGTAGAAGAAGAACAACCTGTGGTATTCGTTATGGCCGCGGATCTTCCGCCCTGCCCTCGCCCAGGTCGCCCGTCCCGCACTACAGGCCGACCACGCTGACTCTCAGATTCACCCTTCACCAGTGAGTAATACACTGTCACCCTACCTCCCCCCGTTTTTGTGTTTCCCCTGCGTTTATCAGCACAGCGTAGGGCCGCCCAGCTGGTTGAGGATGTGCAACGGGTCCTTTCTCGGCGAAGACAATGGGATGAGAGCCAGGGGAAAAAGCTGTGTCCACTGAGGCTCAGGAGGGAGACGGGAGAAAGAAAAAGGGCCAGATGTAGTCCATTGTGTATACAAACACACACCCGGACAGGCTTCACCGATACAAATACACATGCAGCAACTGTAGAAACACGTTTCTTACTTAAAACAGAACCCCGTTGCTCTAAAAGCTTTAGAGCATTGTTTCATGGAAAACAATGTTGGGATTTAGATCACACACCTACACGTTTCCAGGCCACGGAACTCAGGAAGGCAGAAACCTGTAGAAAAAATGTAACAAAAAAAGGCACTTGCCTGTTTCTTTCCCTAACATATTTGCGGCACTACTTATTTATTTACAAGACATGCGGTTTCCTTTCTGAAGTACAAAGGACCCACAAGAGAAACTAGATTAGTGATCACATTATGCTGTATATCACAGTGTCATTTTGTGTGCTCTCAGTTTGAGCCCTTCAACACAGCAGATCGTAATCCTTTCATAATTTAATCATGTTTAAAAATAACTCAACACAGCTAATAAGGTAAGGTTTACTTTTCTAAGAAAATGTAATGTTCGCCCGCATTTTATGCCACTTCCCTTCCTTGTGCCATCTTACGTTTATAGTGCTCAGCATTGGCAATAAATATTCCTTCTTTGCAATAACATTTATAGTATGGTATGTAGGTCAAATATTTTAGAGAGTTAAGTAATCCCTTAAACCAAGCTCAGGCCAGAGCTGATTCACACCTCCAAATCACCCAAGAGCATTTACATTAATAAGGCATAAAAGAGAACGCAACCCCGTGGAGCCCACTGGCATCTGGGACGCTCTCAATCACATCCAAATCACTCATATTTTATAAAGGCAAGTGCTGTTAACTGTGATCAGAGTTTTCTCCCTACTGAGGAAATCAGAGACAGCAAATGGAAAAGACAGAATGAGAGATGTACACGTTTTACTTGCAGATGAGGAGATAATTATGCTTTCAACAGAAACATGGCATTGAAGATGACACCTGGATGTGCCGTGGTTTCTTTTAAAAGAAGCCCGGGCAACAGCGCAAAAGACAGTTCCATTGAAATCTGATCACAGGTCAGCAGACCTCGGGTTGTTGTTTTTCTTCCTTAGTCGTCCTTTACTGACGATGGAGTGTTCGGGTTAACAAGCTCTTAACCCGAACGCCGCGCTCTTCATTGATGTCGGTGCTGATGGGAAAAAAAGTGTGAACAAGGAGCCTCAGTAATGTTTCTGAGTCGTAGGAGTCTTAAGCTTAGCGCTGTTTTCACATGTCAGTAAATTCCATAAGATTCAGCCAGTTTGGTCAGATTCTAAATCAATCGATGACATATACATTCACAAGTGTGCAGCATGTGTTACACATAAGATACACTTGCTGATCTTTATTTCCAAATTACACAATGAAAAAAGGGGGAGCGGCGCTAGTTGTCAGGAATAAGGAATGTAAGCATCAATCTCCGTGGGACAAAAGTACTTTGCAACATTGCATTTGGAAATCCCACAAAGATTAGCCGAGGTTCACAGGAGACGACGCAAAGTGTCCAGGAATCTGGGTGTTTCGTAAGTCTCCGCCGTCGTTCAGAAACAAAATAGCAAACAGACAATTGGAGCAATGTGAGTTGCTGATAAGTTCCTCGGCGAAGGCGGATGATAAATCACTGCCTGATGAAAAGAAAACATAACCAGGGAGGAAAAATTAAAAACAGAAACCAGAGCATAAGATAGAAAAAGAAAAATCAATTTCACATTATTCACGTGCACTCAATAAAAACTGGCAAAGCAATTGATTTAACTGCAGTGTTTTAAGACACTACGTTCTGAGCTGCTGTGACCCAATTTCTTGACTCAATTAGAGTTAAGCTAACGTTAAAACTGTTTAAATCCACAGCTGTATCCATTGCACTTATCAAAGGTCCATTGTGCAAAGGAGGGCTAAACTGAGCAATGTAATGCCATTAACTGCTTATTCGCTAGACTTATTCCAACTGCGATGAAAACAAAGCCGGTGCTCACCAAAGCCTGAGCACTTTTTGACATAGTCAATCAGTTCTTTTATTCACGTTAATAACATGGGAGACATTAAGAAAAGAGACAGAAGGTTATATCAAGACATTTATGTGGATGAAAGTAAAAGAAAAAAAAGAAAACAAGCTCAAGAAGAATTCAATTGTCTATATCAGAAATGTGTTTTCACCCTAAACCATTCAGTGCTTAACAACAGTAAATGATTACATACATACAGGAACCCAAAATGTCATCACTGAACCGGTCTCTTTTTTTCAGTGAGGACAAAGTAAAAAAAAAGTATTTTATGTTGTTTGGCAACAGGGAAAAGTAAAAGGCAAAAGGATCTCTGACACCTGAATGAGCTGCCAACACAAAGTGCAGCATTTGTAGCTTAAGCAGCAAGATGCAGTTGGATTTATCCAAGTCCCCTCATGGACAAAATGTCTTCCACTAGCCTTGCATTGGTTTGTCGCTACCTGTAGCAGTAGAAACGATCTGGACGACACCAGTTGATACTCGACCGATCTACACGACTTTGGCTCGTACGAGACATCGACTCTTTTACTTGAGCGGTTTTTTTTAAGCTCTGTACAGCAACGTAGTTTTCGATCTTCAGTTATTCTCAAAATAACCAATTCTGTAAAATAAAAGCTCTGCAAGCATCCGGCCTCCTGCAAACGACAGGCACACAAGCCCACATGGACGGGCCGGTGCTCCTGCACTGTAAATACCTGACGCACCATATAGTATATCGAGGCTTCACTTGCCGTCTAATGTGCATACTCTTGCTATGAACTTTTTGCTTATATATTACATTTGCATGATCCCATGCTCCACCTCAGTGTTCGGGAATTTGTAGACTTCCTTTCACTCCTTTCACTTTATTTGTTTGTTTCAGTATTTTTTTTTTGGGAGAATTCAAAGTTCATTCGGGATCCAGTTAGTCAAATTCCTTCTGAGATTCCTCCTGTTGAGCCACGCCTCCCTTACTGTGGTCACTAGAGTGCAGCAATCAAAGAGACTTAATCAAAGCTGTGATAGAATCGGGGGGGTTACTATATTTTGTATTGAGGATCCAAAGCTGTTTGTAGCCATTTAGGGTTTTAGAAGAAATAACAGAGTGGTCCACTAGTTTCGCCTCAAATCTTCTAAGAAAAGGTTTCTCTCGTTTTTGCAATGCAGTGAATTGACCAAACCATTGTTTTTTGCCACAAATGTATACTTAAATTATTTCCCAGACCAAACTATTGTGTATTATATATTTCTCTACAGTATAAAATCCTATCCAAGTGAACATTAGTTGGAATTCATTTGCTTGATTATGCTGTTTACTTTTCTACAGTTGACACTGCATCACTTCAGAACAATAATGCAACTTGGAAAAAGTAGTGCCGACTTGCTGTTTGTTGGAATTTACGGGAACCTGCAACAGTTGATAAAATAATCTAAATTTGAACAATTTTGAGAAATTAAAACATTTAGGATCTAGGAAACAAGGAACCACTGACAGGGTCCCACAGTAGCTTATCCCCATTCTGAGACGCAGTGTTTTAGGGAGCATAAGTGATGTGGGAATGATCACAAATTGTCTTTGTTGCACCTATAAACGCACCAAACATTGATAGAAAACAGCAAACTACCGGGTCTACAACAAAAATGGTTTTATATCCAAGCCAATGCGAGTGGTTCATTTAAAAATGACCATGATAAGAGGGGGATTGCTGCACACTGGATTAACTTGCAAACCAAAGAAACTTTTTAAACTCCGTGGATTTCTTTTTTTTTTGTGATTTGCACAAAATGAGCCCTAAAAGCAGCTTACATCTTATTGTTGGTCGGTACAATCCAAAACCTGGGCAATACATCTGGATATGCATACATTTTTTAACAGTTATCATATCAGACAGGGCACCTTAAAGCAAAATCATTTTAATTTTTTCATTCATAATAGACCAGGACAATCCATCCTGCCTGTTGTTATTTCACTGCCGTACCCACAGGCAGCAGAAGCACCTCAGTGCGGCTGACACACTGTTCTGACTAAAGCTCTTGTAGTTTATTTTGATCGTTTAATCCAAAAACATTCCCTTTTTTAATTGTTTGTTGTTTCAAACATTTTAAAACGGGGCTATGCTCTTGTGCCATTTTCACATGTATGTAAGTATGTCTACATTGAATGCTACATTCATCAGCTTTCCTTTTTTTGTCGCAAGGTAAAACCAAAACAACCTTTTTCCTTTTTTCTCCCTCCTTGAAAGCAAGAATAACGAGACTGGTATGTTTTTACTTTCAATGGCAGGCGCTTCGCAGGTTCAATTTGTTTCTTCTCTCCAGGATCTTGCACTTAACACATGTAGCAATACCTACAGGATGGGGAATTGTGTGATTCACCAGTATTTGTTCAAGCGGAATATGACATTTTATTTCTAGATATTGTTTGACTTTGTATAAAAAAACATATACTGTACAGATGCAAAAGTATATTATAACAAAAAACTTTTAGAAAAATATTTATTTTTACTGTTTTTTGTAATTTAGACACAATACTGTAGCTCCTCTATTGCCAGACTTACTGGAAGTGCCTCTCGATAATGTATTACAAAGTAACTATACAAAATTATTATTAGAACCTGTCACTAGCAGAGCAGTGTTGATGTTGTAATGTGAATATTGTTGAATAATACGATTTATAAATGCTGCGCATGTGTTTGTCTGGTTCTTTACTCATTTCTCAAAGTATCAGTTGGACTTTAAGACATGTTTAAAACTAAATTAACAAGAATAAATGATCATTGGTACAGTGAAATGTGAGTTTGACTCCATATAAGTAGCAGCTGTTGAACCTGTATTTTTCTGCTGGTAATAAGTGTAATTTATTGCATATGCCTGCTTCTTCATTATCTCTCTTACCTTTCCAGTCTCATGAAATCGTATCTCAGGAATGCATTGAGGGAACTATTTCAAATCTGGTCCAAACTTGGACCACTTGGACTCAAGGTGATGATGAAACTGATTTGATTTTGATGGTCAATGGCAACTGTGACCTCACATGACACGTTCTTGACCATAATTGTCTAAAATATATACATTAAACATTTAGACACATGTCTAATAGAAGGAAAAAAACAAAAGACAATTATTTCATGTCATAACTCAGGAACAGAGATTATGACCGTGTTTCACGTTTGGTCAAATCCTGAATGCGTCACACGGTTGAACCCTCCTCGGCCTATTGTAGCTCTCTACGTGTTCACGACTTTGCAATAAGTGGTGCTGTTAGATTTGAATGTATACACATTTAACTTCACATATGTGTAATCTACGTGCAGCTAAGTGAAATAAGGTGACACTGCTTTACACACGAGCAAGAGAAAACCACCACAGGACCGCGGCGAACACGGAGCCTCTGTGGTCGTGGGAACAGATTTGCTTTCACAGGTTTGAGTTGGGAGAGGAAGTGCAGACAAAACGCCACAAAGGATCATATTAACCATCTGATGTCAAGTACATCCAAGAGGTAAGTAAGTCACTTTGTAGCATGGCGGAGACATTACGGCCGGACGTTACTAATCATCTAGTTATTGTTGGTACAGGACCCACATTAAGACCGGCCTTACTCAAGGTGAGTGGACCATTCACATTCCCTTTGCTGCAGGGTGTGTAGACACAGATGCATGGACAGACGTAACGCCGCCGACCTGAATATAATTCACAATTTTGTCTGGGAACTCTAAATATATGTATTATTGCATGAATTATTACCCTTCTAAAAGGGTATTTTTATTATTGAAAGCTCGTATGACTTGGACTAAGCATGAATAAAAATGAATGACATCATTTGTCTAAAACCAAGAATATCCTCTTATATTGTAGGCCCATTACTAAATACATATGTATACATATATACCACAAGTTTTACGGTAACTTTGTCCACATTTCCAGCCGATGCAATTAGTAAGCTAATTATATAAACCAGAACTCAATAATATAAAATAAAAAAACCCTTTAAAAAAAGTAATCTCTGAATTGGTTTAATCCGGGTAACTCGTGACAATCTCATTCACAAAACGCAGCCTGACCACGTGACCACGACACAACCAAAAAGGGGGAACGCAGCAAAGTAAAATCTCATAAAATAAATCAGAAATCCAAAATCGTAAACATCAGCTCTCAGCGTTTATTTTATAACACGACAGCAGCTTAATAACGAATGTCGCTGCCAGTGCTTTATGGTTCTAATACAGCTTCGTAGAACTGTACACAACTGAGAGAGAGACAAAGAGAGAGAGAGAGGGGGGGGGGGGGGGGGGGAGTCACCAGCGGGGGTCACCTCGCCGGGGTGCGTTAGGTATCCTCACCCTGCTTTTCACCGATGAACACCGACCCCGCAGCTGTTCGGGGCGGAATAAAATTGCCCATCTGATCCGGATCAGTCGGCTGGAAATGAGCTGCGGAGATCGGAGCGTCCATGAAAACAGCCGTCGCTTCTCCTCCGCTGCCCTCCGCGTGAGAGCTCAGACCGGGGCCGGTCGGACTGAGGCTCCCGGTGGGTCCGGTCGGGTTGTGGACCTTTGAAGACCTTTGAAGCTCGAGCAACTTGAGGACTTGTTTTCCACAAGTACCGAAGTAAGAGCAGCGCTCCTCTCGTTCTGATTTGTGTCATGTATTAATATTGTTGTTCAGGATGTCTAATGAAAAAATGTCTTTGTGTGTCTTTGATATTAAGCCTTGGCAATATCAAATTAAAATAAAAGAGAACTGACCGTGTTAACTAATAAATATCAAATCAAATGGCATCATATCTATATAAAAAAATGGTCATCCAAGAATGTCAATGAAAATGTTTTGTTTTATACACGTTTAAGTTCAACAGCAGTGGTTATCAAGGTCAATGGACACGGTGGTGGTGAGAATTCTCCATAAGATAACTGGTGGACCTGCAAAGCATCAAGTTCATCCTTGACTCCAGGTTGCCAAATTTTGGTAAATGTCCTCAATGCGTTCCAGAGACGACACACAAACTAGATGTGTAATAAGGCCAGAAAGAAGACAAATACCACTCTTTGTATACAATTATGAATAAGCAGGAGGGGAGGGAGAAAGCAGCACATCGTTGTTAATGCTTGATATGATGATGTCGATGTCATATTATCACTATTGAGATATCTATGTTTATAGAGAAAGGGAAGAAATATGTGACCACAATGAAGTGTGAGGAGTACATGCTGGCCCCAGTGCTTGTCATGCAATTAAATCAATTGCATTTACTATTAATTTAAAGGAGAAATCTGTGAACAACAGCAACCATTCACACGTAACGCTTGCTTTATGTATGGAATTTACTGGCTGCATTCTATTCTAACTGATTATAGGGGCCTTTTACGGGAATTACCCTAAAGAAAAACAAAGCTGTCACAAGCAGAAACGAGCTGACTGATGACACTATATTTCAATAAATATGTGTTGTCCCTGATGTCTAAATGCAAATCAAAGTGTGCTCCTTCTATCATAGTAATGAGAAAATAATGCTTTTGGTGGATACAGAGCTTGAGTTAAAGCTCTGACGTTATTAATGCCACAACAATTCACCCTAACCTGACGGCCTTTTGGATGAAATTACCCACTTTTCATCCCAGTTGAAGCTGAATATAGAAGTTCAGACTTTGATTACTGTGAAAAATGTTCTTTACTGTGACGAGTGGGACGGAGAGAAGGAACGTCACAATCGTTGGTGCTGCAGATGGAAATTACAGCTTCATATTGGCCAACTTGAAGCTGCTGCGTCTAATTCCTTAAAAGTAGGTCAGACCTGTCGCTATGGTCTTTAAGACAGATATGAATTGAGGGACAAATCAAAACGTGTTACATTTGGTCCCAAATGCAGAATGATTGGCAGAAATGGTGATCTGGAGGAAACCGCAGTAACGAAAGAGGGCATCAGATTAAAAAAGACAGAGTCTTTCTAGACATTAGATGAACAGGATAAATAGGAACTTAAACCGCAGAAACTCCTTATTTTAAACAGCAGCTATAAAACAACTGAATGGAAAACATATGTGAGTGCTTTTAGCAATGCCCTACTTTGTTAATTGGAACCCCTCTGATGATGATGATTCTTTTAATACAGCTCAGCAGAGAGCATGATCAAGCACTGCATGGGTTGGTTCAGGCATTTCCTGCTGCAGATACATTATGGAACCAATAAAGTACATCATACCGGCATTTAAGTCACGTACTGCCTATAATATAAGCATGTGGCAAACAAATTAACTCTTTCCCTTATGCACACATCGCTACCTTATGCATTGAATATTTACTGTATACTGTATGTAACATACACAAGTCTAACACATGTATTCCACACATGTTTGCAATTAAGGGGAATATGTGTTAGCAGAGGTTGCAAAATAGACAAGCCAAGTTAAATGGCACCATTGTGGCTCAGCATCAGATCTTTTAGGCTTCGTATTGCGTTATTAGCAGATGTAAGGGGAATTGTATCAGCTTCACAACCCCGGGTCACATGCTGTCAGTCACCGGCAGAACAATACAACAAAGCATCTTGATATGTAGGATTGTTATTTCAGCGTTCTGATACCGGGGAAACATTTTGTTCTTGAAAAGTCTCCACATCTGCTGCGCCATTACAATGTTTGGTCGTGATTTAAGTCTTAAGATCTCTCCAACACATACAGGCACTATTGTTCGTGTGTTCGTGTGTCAGCCTGCTGGCTGATGGCAGAGGATGAGAAGTGGGTCACATGCTTGAATTATCCATTCGCAGGAATTGCACGCATCTGTGCCAAGAAACAGCGGTACGTGGGGGACTTCTGCAAATGAGACACAGAGACGGTTCTGAATGATGGAGGCGGGAGCTGAGCGAGGGCGCTCGCAGGGCAACAGTGACGGCGCGGTCGGGCAACCGCGCTCCTCTCCCTGCACCAGCCTCAAGGTACACAAGTTAGCGTGTCATAGGACGAGTAGACCCGCACCTCAAACAGTCGCTTCCGCAAGGACGATATGTGTCTGGGAGGGAGGCTGTCGTTTTTAACATCAGGGTTCTCTCTGTCTAAATAATGTACAGGAATGTAAAGGTTGATAGAGGATCATAATACTAACTGTACTGTATTACACAAGATGTTTTTGCTCTTTGCACAACTGGTAGTATGCATTTGTCTGGTTTTTCATGTTTCACTTGCATACATACATCCATACTAAGTACGAGGGGCCTTCTGTGCTCTGAACATATTTTGGCCATACCAGAGGATCTCAAACAGCAGATGGAGTTTGCTCAGCTTTTCTTTGCACTGTCCGAGGATTTTTCCTTCAACAAGGTTAATTTAGAAGCTGTTCATCAATTAACACAATCTTCATCATTTTGACCGTGGGATATTTAATAGAATCATTCTGATTCAATCATTCATTGAGAACTCTTTTGTCCTCTTGTTGCCACAGTACCAAAATATCAAGTTTCTTTCTAAGAAAAAAAGGACTGAGAACATCAGTGAATTTCATGTGGGTTTTTTTAGACCACCCTCAAGATGTTTTTTTTCACTCAAATATCCTTCTCAAATAAAAAAAGTACCAGATGCAGCAGGATCACAAGCTTGTTAGTTGAAATCAATGAAGAAAGAACAAAAGCGGGTCGCAGTTTAGGACGAGGCTTTGTTTAATTAACACTTGCTGTGAATCCCTTTCCAATGACCTTGTATCACAATGTGACCACTGCTTCGGCACAAGCTAATACATCACAAAGCACACCATTGTTGCAAATCCCCAAATGAACTAGATGTAAAAAAAAGAAAAAGTAATTCACTGCGTAAGATTTACTCATGGTTGAATTTTTGACTGGTGCTGTAAATCAACCTTTTAGCTGACACGCTAAAAGGTTGCGGTTGATGAGTCAACTGAGAAAAAAAGATGCTTCATCTGAGAACAGTTCAAAAAAAGTTGACAGCTCAAACAGATTAAAATGTTTTAAAATAGATTATCTAAGAATGTGAATGTAAGAATGGCTTTGGGGGAAAGCAACCTCTGGGTTTTCTGACAGTTCACAGCAAGTGCACAATTTCCCCAGCAAAATGAGTGTGTGGTAGACTGTGAAAAAGCATTACTGTTGCTTGGAGGTAGAAGTTAATTGAATTCTCGCTCTCAGGTCCCCCCAGGAAATGCACATGAGATGAGCTAATTTCATTAATGGCCTTTAGTCAGAACTGGTGGTTTGCAGGATCTCAATAGATAGTCTGTTTGCACCAATTTCATCATATTATGTAAATAGACACTTTGTATCAGGATGTATAAGACAAGTTATTACTGTAAAACATGTGATTATGACACAACTGTTGTTGCATATGCTGAATAGACCTCTAACCAAATACTTATTTTTTCCTTTCTATCTCTGACCATGCTGTTTTATAAGTGCTGGTAGCAAGTCAGCTGCCTCTTATCCCTGAGTGTTGAAAAGCTCAAGCTGATTATCTGAACTTTTTAAGTGATTTGATAGTGTTATTGGTGAATAATACCACACGTTGTCCTGTCTGCATCCATGGTGTGTCTTTGCCTGATTGTTTGTGTAATGTGACTCTCTTTGCTGCTTTTCTCACGTCAGTACTGAACACTGAGACGCAGTACAAGAAGTATGACCAAGGCCACAACCCGTTACTCATTCACAAGCAGTCAGGGAGACTGGACGAGGTTAAACTTAGTCTTTAGACCACACAAAGGCTTTTTTTCAGCTGCAAAATGCACCAAAAATCAAGAAGGAAAGCTAGAGACAATAATGACTTTATTCAGGTAGCTTCACTATATTTTGTTCTAAAAATAAATAATGTTCCCCACAAATTTCCCAGTACATACAACCACGATCAATGACAAATGGTAGCGCAAAGATTCTAGTGAAGAAGCAAAGTTACTAGTGTCCATTAATGGGACATTGATTTCCCACAGAAGGAGAGAGAGAGAGAGAAGAGGAGAGAGAGGAGCTCAGTGTATCAGAGGAGGTCCTCTGCCTGTCCAGGCCTACAGCAGCATAATTAGGGCTGGCAAAGCTGAGCCAGCCCTATGTAGTATATCAAAGAGGGTCTGAATGTGTCACTAACCCCCCCGGACGGATAGTGGAAGAAGAGGAGCTTGATGGTAGCTTTTGGAACATTGTGAAATAAAGGAATTTTGGCAGACAGAATTGTCATGTTGTTGATCCTAAGTCTTTGAATATTGATTATTTTCGGTTTAAAAAACAACAACTGTCACAAAGAATATCTTTTATGTTTTTGATTATTTAGAGTCGGTTTACTTTGCGTTGGAGGTGGATTGGAGTTTATAAATGATTGTGACTGTTGAATCCAGTGAGAATCCCAGTCACTGTGAGAAGAGTCTCACAGCTTTTCAGGCTCATTAGAGCACAATTTAAAACCATCAAGATAAAACGATATCATTCCCTATGTACTCTTTCTCTGTCTCATTTATGTATTGGGAAGTTTGAGCTGCATGTACCTTGTACAAATGTAAACCCGTTAATCCACGACATTCGAGTAGATTATTAATGACACTAAGGATAAAACACTTCACTTGCAGGTTGTATTTTTAATATTTTTATTCTTCTGTGCATATTAATGTCAACACTCTTTCCATGTTTCCCTTCCTCTCTTTTTTTCCTCGTCTCTCTCTCTTCCCCCAGATGTTTCTGGCGGCTTTGTCATTTGCTTATTTTGCGAAGGCACTGTCGGGGAGCTACATGAAGAGCACAATAACTCAGCTGGAGAGGCGCTTTGACATCCCCAGTTACCTAATAGGCGTCATTGACGGGAGCTTCGAGGTCGGTGAGTAGAGCTTCCAGCCACTGTTGTTATTTTGTTGTTCTGTTCTGCAGCCTCCGTTTCATGGGCCCCCCTCCCTCCTCTCATGTATGAATGGGTCACTGAGGTATTCAAACTGCAGATAAAAGATTCATCAGGCTCCCAAGAAGAGGACAGATCAGCGTGTGTGTGTGTGAGTGTGTACGTTTGTATGCACAGTGAGTCATGGTGTCGAGCAGGGACAGGCTCCAAGCTCCCTCTCTGCTGTGGACAGTCGGACTGAAGAATGTTTAAGGTTATGTTAGGCAGCGAGGTCTCTATACTATGGTTACACACATGGGAATCCAGCTGCCAGGTATACAATAATATCTAGTTTGATTAGTGCAACATTACGTATTGCATATATTTTTATGAAATACCACATTCACCTTTTTTTCCACAGTAGTGACAAATTATCTTTGGATAAATCATTTTTCAATGCAAAACAAAAGGCAGAGGTCAGTTAACAAAAACTGACAAAAAGCAATTTTACTTATTCTATTTATTTCTTAGATTATTTAGTGATATGTTGGGATGTTGTGTATAAGGAATACTGACCCCAGCTACTTTGTCTCTGTCCATCTACATGTTTGCTCAGAAATAAAAAGAAATTACTGGTTCCAAATGTGAAAGTTATGTAATTAGGACGCGATATCAACCTCAGTCCACCTGGATGACAGCAAAAGCATGAAGAAGCTGCTTTTTAAAGTAGAACCCAACTGATTTTACACATCTAAGTCTGTTAACTGTCCTTGCTGAGGACTACTTCATATGTGGAAAAAGAAGTTTAAAGCCTTTTGTGGCTCCCAACGGGCTGTAGAAACAATTGTACTATGTCACTGTCCCCAAGTGATGTCACTGGAGATTTACAAACAGTTAAAAACAGTTGACATAAAAGAAAACAGTCATTAAAAAGATTTTAAAAAGACGTTAAAAGTCTAAAAAAAGACAAAAACTTGCAGTGTAGTTTAAGAATGTCTTTAAGAATTGCAAATTGTGGAAATGGTCAATTAAAGGCAGCAGCAAACAGAAAAGTCTTCAATCTGGACTTAAAGGAGTTGAGGGACTCAGCAGACCTGCAGCTTTCTGGGACTTTGTTTCAGATATGTGGAGCAGAAAAACTGAACGCTGCTTCTCCGTGTTTAGTTGTGAGTCTGGGAGCAGAAAGTAGACCTGCCACAGACAGCCAAAGGGCTCGGGATGGTTCATAAGGTGTCAGCAGATCAGAAATGTCAGAATAAACCACTCAGTGCTTTATAAACCAACAGCAGGCTTCCAATCAGTTGCTGTTCACATTAGAAACCTAAATCTGAAATCAGGTATTAGTTTTTAACTACTTATTGAACATAACATGCTGATATAACTGTAGTAGTAGTGTTAGTACCAGGGGTCACTGCTAGTGAGTCGATCTGTCTGCATCACTGCTGTTTACAAACCACAACATCTGCACATCCTGGATGTGACCTGTGGTTCCCCTTAACACAGATCCTTATTGATGACATTCACCAAAGTATGTTACTAGATTGTCCCCCGACCAGTTTCTAGGTCATTCATGTGCGGCCGGTCCATTCGACTAATGTGTGTTTTGCCGCTCATGAATAACACAAAGCTTGGGGAACGAGATGAGACCCTGAAATTTATACATACAGATAAAAGTCACAATCCGTTGTCAGCCGTTCTATTTCTGTGATTTGTTGTCAAGAAGTTGGTTTCTGCCCATAGTGGCACGGTAGTAATTAAGTTTTGTCTTCAGTAACATTAGACTGCTGTTACTCTGATGGAGATGAACTGCACATGCTGGATAGAAAGGGTGATAGACACCTCCAACACCCCCGATCTCTCCTCTTCCGTATCTCTCCATCTCCTGGGAAAGCTGCTTTTCTCGCGTGGCCTTGGCAACTCGCTTTGTCTATAAGACCGTTGTCCGGGTAACATGGAGGCCGAGCAGCAGGAAGTAGGAAGAGCAAGTGAGCGGAAAGTGCGAGAAACGAGAGAGGAGAGCAGAGAAAATAGAAGACAAAGAGGAGAGGAATGAAGAAGAAAAAAGAATGAAGAGCATTCAATGATAAATATGATAACAATTGATGATTCACAGATTAAGAGTCTATTATACGCTGCACCAAAAACTCCTGGGTTGTACCTGCACATACTCATAGTCCACATCAAAGAGTAGAGAAATTAAAATTAGACTTTAATCCAAGGTCATATTGTGTGCCTATTGAAAAATAAAAAATTCAGATGTACTTCCAAAGAAAAACATTTTTTTTTTTTTTTTTTTACTAAGTCTGTAAATCTAAAATAATGAAGAAACGATTATGTTCGTTCAACCTTTCTTCATCATGTGGAGAAGCGCCGTGCCACTAGCTGACTGCACATGTTCCTCACAGGCAACCTGCTGGTGATAGCTTTCGTCAGTTACTTCGGGGCCAAACTCCATCGGCCAAAGATCATCGCGGTGGGTTGTGTCCTGATGTCCATCGGCACCTTCATCATCGCCCTGCCTCACTTCATCATCGGACGGTGAGTTATAAAACCCTTACGGGACTGGTTGTTTTATTTAATAAAAACACATTAATGACAGCTGCTCCCAGGAGCCGCAGCAGACTCAAATTTGCTTAATGATGTAATGATTATTATTTTTGATTTCCTGTATTTTAAACGTTCCCTTCATATTTTGTGTACAGTTATGAATTTGAAACATCGGTGCGATGGGTAGTGAACTCCACACAGAACCCCTCTCCGTGTCCGGTGGGCCGACCATCAGACCTGACCCGAGAGGCTAAAAGGCCTCAAGTGCCAGCCACAGGTGAGCACTCCTGCACTTCCGCAATAGTGTTTACAAGTCAATAACCCTGAGATTGCTTTAATTTGTTCCCTTCAGGTTGTGAGGGTGACTCCTACCTGTCCATGTGGATCTATGTCCTCCTGGGAAATGTCTTGCGGGGAATTGGGGAGACGCCTGTTCAGCCTCTTGGGATCTCCTACATAGATGATTTTGCTGGTGAAGAGAATGCCGCTCTCTATGTCGGTAAGGGAATTCCAACCCAGTGATGGAGATAAACACACTGTATCGTCGATTACATGCTCATGATCTGCAAATTGGCTTATTATTATTGCAACTACTTCCGTGTTAAAAAGCTTTAAACGGCAGAGTAACGTTTTGAGTGCTTGGTAGTCCGGAAATTGAGCAAATGTATTTAATAGACACAGAATCCTAAACAGCTTGTGTGTTGTGTTGCTTTGTGGGGGTGCATTCCATATCCTAGGCTGTGTGCAGACCATTTCGGTGGTTGGCCCTGTGTTTGGCTACCTGTTAGGCTCCCTGTGTGCCAAAATCTATGTGGACATTGGGTTTGTAAAAATGGGTGAGTTTAAATATTTTGAAGGTGAAATCTGGAAACAGTCGATGTCAATGTATCATAATAACCTATGAAATACATAATCGTGGTTAGTTTCAGTCACTTAGATCAGATTCAATATTTTATACCATTCCATAATTGCAAAGTAGGTCTTTTTCACAGAATATATTTGTCACCTGGTGTATGTAATAAAACGAATGGTGGCCTGGTATATTCAATGCTGTCTCACTGTCGTGACCTTATGAGACACTTGAATAGAAAAGAGTTATCAGTAATGGTTTTAGTTAAAGCTCAACTTTTCTAACTTTTCTAAAGCAAACCAAACCAAAATGTTTTCTCTGAACAAAGAGCTTTTTCCATTTATTTAACTGAGGCAGGATATTATCAGACATAATTACGGGTGGATCACATCATATGTATGTTCACAGACCCCGAACAGGTGTACAGGATTAGCACCAATTAGCTAATGAACAAGGTCTGGTGGTGCATAAGAAGGTCAAAGCCCAGTGACACGCTACAATCAAATAGAGTGCAGCAGGTGGAGAAGAAGAAGAAGAAGACGGACAATTAGAAAAAGAAATAAACTGAAGGGACAAAGGGCTGGAAGGAAGAGATAAACACAGATAATGGAGACGCAAACCGGCCGCAGAAAAAAGGTCTATCAGAGGAAAGAATGGCAGAAAAAGTCATGTCAGATGACACCAATAAACAGATTCACCGGTGATGAATATGTGTTTTTAAAGGTTGTTAGGGCTGTTCTGATGAACTCTGATCTGCCTTATGCTCCCATTTGCCCTCATTGTTCCATCTTTGCAACCTTTCATTTGGGTGTCAAGTCTAAAGAGTTCAGTAAGCTTTATAAAGCCTTTAACGATAATACAAAAAACTGCATATCATATTATAAAATTGTTACAAATAAAACAAATAATTTAGGACTTGTGTTTATGCATATTTGTATCACTGAGAATGTATTACATCATCTCATCATCTCTACCCCCCCCCCCCAACACAGAAACTATCACCATCACCCCATCCGATTCTCGCTGGGTGGGGGCCTGGTGGCTTGGCTACCTCATAGCTGGGGTCATCACCCTGCTCTCCGCTATACCATTCTGGTTCCTGCCTCGCTCCCTGCCTGTGGCTGGGCCCCGGGGCCCAGACAAATGCACGGCAGAGCGGACAAGGTTCATTAAAGAACCTCCTCTTATGAAGCACAAGTATCCTGCAGACGAAAATACAACTTTCATAGAGATGGCTAAAGGTAAATCATTTTGATATAGCACATCACGATTCTCACATGGGGTCTTTAAAAATGAGAAATGTTTATAAAAAGCCTCAAAAAATATATATTTGATATCATGCATTGTTTATAGCTATGGGACTAGAAGTCTTGCTCATTCTCTTTGTGGGCGCATGACCAGGTTTGTTGAAGCGTTACAGCCACCAAGTGTCAATGAGCGGAATATTGTGGAATCGGCAGAAGGACCTGAATAGTGTACAATAGAAAGAAAAAGCAGATCCATGCATAAAAACATTTCTCCCTGTGCTCAAAATTGTATTTTCTTTAAATGTGTTGTCACAATGCTGATTGTTTTCAGACAATAGTCCTTGATCTTCCTACTACTTCATGTAGACAGCAAGGCCAACATAGCAATCACAGCAGTAATCAAATACTCACTTTTATAGAGAGATATTGCATCATTACTTTTGGGCACGTGTGTTTCAATCCCTATTTCAATCCTCCTACAGACTTCATTCCGACCCTGCGGACTCTGCTGGGACACCCTGTGTATTTGATCTACCTGTGTGTGACAATCATCCAGCTGAACTCGCTCATTGGCATGGTCACCTACAAGCCCAAGTACATCGAGCAGCACTTCAGGCAGTCCGCGTCAAAGGCCAACTTCCTCATGGGTATGGCTCCCCCCCCTCTAAATAATCCCTAAATCATCCGGAGAACATTGTGTTCCCGGTTAATTGATGTCATTTTGCATTTGCTGAATAAAGCAGAAGAATAAAATGAGGAAGAGAGGGTATGATTAAAGAAAGGGAACTGGGTCAGGGCTGTTAGCGGCCTACTAACTGCATCTGCTGCAGATAAGTAAGCTCAGTGGATATAAAAGTGCTTTGCATATACAATGAAACATCTAATGAAGCTGATAACACAAGATGAAAGTCTCTTCCTGTTGTCTCATCAAAACATGCCTGCCCTGAATATACTGGCCACATATGAAAGAGAATGCAGTATTAGCGACCGGTGCAGATTACATGGTTGTAGATAAAAAAAAGTGCATGTCTCTAGTTTCATTTTAAACGTATGTATAAGAGAAGAGACTGAAAATATAAAAAGCAAGAGACTCTTTCTAATCAAGTTGACTGTCTTGTTTTATTCTTCCCAATTTTGCCAAGTTTAAGAAATAATAGCCGTGCTTTGTGACACTATCAGAATATGTTTTACAATCCAAAATCAAGCTTTTGAAGTAACATTTTATTCCAGATAACGATGGATTTGCTGTCCCTCTTATTAGGTGTGATCAACATCCCAGCTGTGGCACTAGGGATGTTTTCTGGAGGGCTTCTGATGAAGAGACTCAAGCTGAACATCATGGAAGCGGCCAGGTTTGCCTTTGGCACGTCTCTGATCGGTTACATCCTGTCGCTGTTCTTCTTCGCAATGAGCTGCGATAACGCAGAGGTAGCCGGTGTGACGCTTTCCTACACGTGAGTCTACGAAAAAAAGAAAATCACAAATAGCGTGTCAGGGTTTCTGTTTTTAATGTATGTTATTATTCTAATAATACGCTACCATAAGTTTCCATTGGGATGAAAAAGCAGCCTGATAACTTCAAAGAGATGGAAATAACAGAAGTGTGACATTTAGAAGAGAAAGCAATGGATAAAAGGAATCATTTCCCCCCAATGATACATTTTCTTTTGTTCACCACAAGTCACCAATAAAACATGTGGCAGTTTTTGCTCGCCACTAGTCGGTGTTTATCTTACTAATGCATTATGCCACTTTGTAATCCCGTGAAGAGCGTCCTGACGTAATTGGTCATATGCAGGTATGTAATGGGATATTAAACGATTTCCTCTGGCTCTAACCCTCCCCAGCATGGATAGGATATCTTATGATAAACACTCAGTGTTCGCGTCCTGCAACTCGGACTGCTTCTGTTCATCGAGTGACTGGGACCCGGTCTGTGGAGAGAACGGCATCACGTATGTTTCTCCGTGCCTCGCCGGCTGCACCGCCTCTGCTGGCTCGGGGAAAAACACAGTAAGTTGACATGGTACTCAAACTATGAGAAAAATTACACATGTAACATTTTTACGAAAAGAATAGAAGATCATACACTTACCATATTAGATGTTTAGTAGATGATGTGAGTGCTATCAAAGTCCTCTTTTCTATATAACATTCTTGAATTTCGTTGATCTGCAGCCACATGAATGTTTGTGAACATACGTGTAACGGGCTTCGATGTCCTGCTGTACATGGTCACGTAACTGTGGATGTCCCTGCAGGTCTTCTCTAACTGTAGCTGTGTCGGTGCGGCTGGTAATTTCACCGCCACTACAGGCCAGTGTCTTCACAAGGAGGACTGTGACGGGATGTTCCCGTACTTCCTGGCTCTCTCTGTCGTCACTTCCTTCATCATCTCCCTCGGGGGAACACCGGGCTACATGTTTCTCATCAGGTCAGTTTTACTTTTTTATTTTTTTTAAAAAGGACTTTGACTTGAATACCCTTCACTCAGTTCACTCAGACGGCTACAAGGGGTTATGTTGTGTGTTTATGTTACCTTTCTGTCTTCATTTCATATTTGACAGACTGAAGCTATTTTAATTTGGGCGTAAAGATCAAAATATCAGGCACTTACTCCTAAAGCCTCATCAGCTGATCCTGGTCCTTTTCAAAAGGAGTCGCCTAACTGGAATTGTGTTGTTTTTTGCTGTTTTATTGTACGATACGTGATGCACCCTATCTTCCTGGAATATTTGAACATGCTTTGTTTACATTGTCTATCGGTTTAACGGTACAATATTTGACAGTAAGACTGTCAAAAGAAAACTTAGCCCTGAGCGTTTTGTTTTGAGTATATGACATTTTTGAACAAGTTTTTACAATGTTACCTAAAAAATATCTGCAATTTCTCTTCCCGAAGGTGCATCAAACCACAATTAAAATCTTTGGCGTTGGGTTTCCATGCTCTGGCTACGCGTACCCTCGGTATGTCTCCTTTAAAACATCCTTTATCAGGCATGTTGCAGTGGGTCACGGTTAGATACAAACTCTGTAAATGCGTTTTCTTGGGTTTACGCACAAATTTCAGTGTTTCAGTCTTACTTGACTGTATTTTTTTCCGCGTTGTGGACTACAATCTATTGTGTTTCACTCCTCGGGGACGTGGTTGTGAAAACATGTTTGTGGTCTTACAGCAGGGATCCCGGCACCCATTTACTTTGGAGCAATCATTGACACCACGTGCCTGAAATGGGGTCAGAAAAGGTGTGGAGGCGTAGGAGCCTGTAGGATCTACAACACCACCGCCTACAGGTAGCAGGCAGACTTTTATGGAGCTTTCATTTTCAAGATTCAAGATTGAGTTAAGTGAAAGGATCCAGTGTGCATTAGATACCATGTTTTACTTTTTCTGTTATTGTCTTTATAAAACTTATACATTTGGTTGCAACGCAAAGGGTAGTTAATATACGGTAAACTTTGCTGCTGCACATTGGCTGCCATATATTTTGATTATGGTATCTGTAACAATCAGAAACTTGTGCATTTCTTCTTGGACCATCTTATGTTACCTTGAAAGAGAAAACAACACTATCTTCCCATGCAAATGTGTGCGTCTGGAAAGCAAATGTTGGAGTGTAATTGTACAAATTATTTTAACTTTTTTCTTCTTTTTTTTCGCCACCATCCCTATTTGCATGAAATCCTCCTCCTTCTCGGAGTCATAACCCAATCAAACGCTCAGACACGTGCGTATTTAGATTGAGAGTGACTTACACTCACTGGTATGAATGTCCTGGATGTCCTCTCATACACCCATAGAACTCTCATCCCATGTCTCCTCCCGTCTTGTCAGAAGCAACCTAATGTTCACGTCTTCACCTCTCAGGATAGCCTACCTGGGTCTCACTCTGAGCCTACGGACGCTCTCCTTCCTCGTTTGCATCCCGGGCTTCATCCTGCTCGGCCGACAGCTGAGGAGGGAGGAGAGGAGCGCCGTCCACGGGGATCTGGCCAACGGCGGGGCGGAGCTGGAGGCGCTCCGGAAGGAGGAGTTTGTGACTTCCAGTGCGGACCGATCGCAGCAAACGGCCGACAGCAGCACAGACAGGGAGACACGGCTGTGACAGAAGCCCCTCGCCCCCCCCCCCACACACATACACACAGGTAAACAATCGCAACCACACACATACAGATACACACAGACTCAAATTCAATTTGCAGGGATCATCTCATATAAAGCATCAATTCTATATTTGTACTGAAGGCTTTGTCAGTTTAACAGAAATCTGATATTTCCTGAACGTACATGCTTTTGTTTTTTTCAATGTAAAAATATTTTTCAGATTTGATGGTTTGCACAAGCTATTGGATACTTGGCTTGTGTAGACCACTAACAACAAGTATCAAGCTGCCTCTTTGGATTTTTTTTATTCAAATGTTTTTCTTCCTGCAATCAGAAGGGGAAAAGTGGTCATCAACAAGACGTGTGGCTCTAACTTTTGACAAAAAAAATTATAATTAAGGTGAGGGAAATTGAATGAGACGGAAAGAAAGGATTCATTATTTCTCCTAAAAATAGAAAAGATAGAACAGCTTATTGTAAAAAAATATGCGTGAACCTGTATTTCAGCATCTTTTTATGCCGGATGTTGATATGACGTATGTGCCTCATTCACTCAACTGTTACCTCTATATCATGTATCTCACATTTTGAACAGATGTATGAATGTCATTCCATTTTGCTTTCGCTCACCGTTGACTGAATGCAAGTCTAAACATTTAACTTCAGGTGGACTCTAAAGGTTTGCTGCGTTACCTTGAGCCCAAAGTCAGGTGTGACTGTATTGCAGTTCCTGGAGTGTGCTTTCTGGATCTGAAAGTGTTCCTTTGGTACTCCATCCCACTAAAAATGGAAATTGTATTTAGGTGAGATTTACTTACCGGTTTGTCTAGTGTAGGCTGCTCCATATTTGTATACTTTCAACCGGCTTCAGGACAAATGAACTCGCATATAAATCTGGTATAAATATTGTATCTTAGAATTTGACTAAATCTACTTAAAATATCTGAATACACCTCGGCAGGCTCTGATATAACACAATATTTTTGTTGAAACAGATGCTTGCTCTTGTTTGTGCAGGATGTTGTGCCTTTGAAAGGTCTGAATTTGTACTGTTGCATCATTGATGGAGGATATCTCCACAAGGAATGTGCATTTATGCAATTGATTTTTATAAGCTCTGTTGGTTTGTTCTGTGTTTGTATTTGTAAGTGTGCTTGAACTCCTGTGCATAAACCTACAAACAGAACGATCATGGTCCATTCTCAGGTTTTTACCATTGATTTTATTCTGAAACAGCTTTATCCAACAATCGGAAACCACATCATTGAAATCCATCTTAATTCATCGGTTGGCTACTATAAGTATTTCTTTTATCTTTGTAAATGTACAGCATATCGACGTTTTGTAACTTTATTAAAATGTGCTTGTTAGGTGACTGAATGGTATTTTCGATTCAGGTTTAGTTTCAGGCACACAAGCAGAGACTCGGTGTAGAGGAGGAAGTCATTATCTCAATAATGTAAGCCATTTACTTGCATTAAAGAAATCAGAATGTAAATAATTTTCTTGGGATTATTTTTGTAAAGTTTTAAAGATATTAAATGTAATACTAAATAAACCCGTTGGTTGGTTGAAACTGGTGGTGTTATTTATTCAAAACAAGCCATGGCTTTGAGAAATGTATATAGTGTATCTAAAAGGCACTATGTGATGTCTGAAACATAAATATCAGAATACAACTTGAATAGGACTTTTTGCAAAGCTTTAATCTGAAGAGTGACTTTGGTAAACCTAACAACATATTTATTTACGTATTTATGAATAAAAAAAACTTTAAGCATCTGGTGATTGCGTGACAAGGCTCAGTGTGGGTAACAGAAATATAATAAAAACCCTACAGCCCCTTTCCAACAACAACAACAACAACAACATGCAGGGCAGCAAATATACCACAAACTGGACCTGAACGGTTTTGAGTTAAGACATTAAAAAATGATAAGTGGATATTCGGTATTAACTATATCCATCTTCAACATGTATATATTAAGGAAGGAACAGAACGGATGTATAGAGATCATAGCTGGAATAAAACAAAGAACATGCGATGTGCAACTGTAAATGCCCACTATATCTGCACAGCCATGCCAGCACAAGCACAGCTGAGCTCAAATTGGGTGCAGAAATAAGTATCAAAATACATTCATAGCAGTCACATCTCCAGCTTTTAACAAATCTTGCACTCTACGCTAACGACAAACCTTAAGCAGCACTCATCCTGGTTGCATATTTCTTTTAACAGACAAACGGCTCTGTGATCAGACCTGAATCAATTACTGACTAAACCCAATGCAACGTCCACCCACAGTTAATCTGCAAAGTCACCGGGGCCAAAACAGGGACACACCTAATGTTACCAATGTTATTAAGGGCAGTCTGACTTTGAATAGGAATCACCTCCCAGTACCATACGATTCCCTCCTGGCTTTATGATATGCGCTGTGCCACCAGGTGTTATATGAAGGTGAAGCATGTGTTGCAGTGTCTCGTCGTGAATGGGTTAAATTTCTGTGTAAACACTTCAAACTTTAAATATCTTGAAGAAACTAGTCGTCTTTTTTGTTTTCATCTTGATTCTGAAAAGACAAAAAATAACAGTGGAAGGAAAATTTCAGTTAGTATGTTCAAAAATACAGAAACAAAATATATTCCATTCATGTTTCTTTAGTTGAGATTCTTTGTCGTACTCAGAATCAACAACCCTCGTTTTTAATATCTCAGTAACAGAACATAGCCTTTGAGTTGATGAAGAAATGACCAGGCTTCTAAATTTTGGGAATTATTGAGGCAGTGAGTGACATGACTCAGCATCACCTGGAGCGCCTGATGTTCTATCAGCAGTCTGTCATACTCCCTGGCGAGGCCGTCCGCCTGCTTCTTTATTACATCAGCCTCTGACTTGGAGTTCTTCAGTGCTGGAAAGGAAACACACATCAGGACAGGGCATCCTCATGGCTTCAGAAGGGAATAGTTTTAAAGGTCACGGTTCGATTTGAAAATGAACATAAACTTTACAGTGTGCATGTGGATACTAACCGTCTTCTGAGGTCCTCAGTTCTTCTTTCAGTCTATCCACCTCTTTTCTCAATAGCTCCATGCCTTGTGTGGTAGCATTTCCCCCCTTCCCTTCCATCAGAGTCTGAAATGAAACCAAATGACATGAACCTCGAGAACTTTGTCGGCTACGTGTAACCGATGTAAAATGCTCAGTGTGTATTTGTGGACAAATGTGCACTGAAACAAGTTCACATGCCACCTTGGGAAAGCACTCCAGTGGCCTCAATGCACCCCCCCCCAACGCCCCCTCCAGAAAAGGTGTGGAACTGACACACCACACCAGTGTAGGCACCCCTGGTCTAATGTATATTTTGTAGTTGCGGGTCTAACAACAGTGAGAACTTTTTCAGTGAGTCTTTGCCTGACCAATGTGAAGCCTACCTGTTTCAGCAGCTCGTTTTCCTTTGAGTACTTCTTGACATCCTGGTTAGCGCTCTCAGCCTGCGCCTGAAGAGCAGCCGTGGAGCCGGACACTGATGCCAGTTGGTTAATCAAGGTGACCACTCGCTTCATAACCCTGCGAATAGATAATAATAACAGCAAGTTTGAGGAAAAACCTTTGCTCTCTTATACTGAAACCCAGATGCCACGTCAAAGACTCACAGCCAGAGGAAGACAGCGAAGCCGGAGATGTAGAGGTTCCTCTGGGCTCTGAAAAGCTTCATGTGCAGGTGATCGAACATGTTTGGCTGCAGCTTGGCTTCTGTACCGAGATCTCTAGAGGAGTATTTCCTCACCTCACGCACCGCATCTAAAGAAGATCACGCAATGACCAAAATCGACCCCTTTTCAGCAACTTGAATTGAAATTGAAGTTTCTCGTTTGTGTCACGGCATTTAATAGTATGTCGAGAAGCTGTTTTGACAATAGACAGTGACAACAGACAATGTCAAGTGGTGCAAAATGTTTACTCACCAAGGAAGAGAACAATGAGTACTATGATCATCGTGAGAAACACTTTGTTCCAGAACCTTGCCATAAAGCTCCAGATCCTCAGCTGGAAAATACTCTGCCATCTTCAACCAACATTTACATATCATTAAAAGATTCGATACAGTGACATTCACAATATATTCTGAACAGGCAAAAGGGTCAGAGTATGTGAAGGATGTACCTCCTGGCTGAGATGAAGGGTAGACAGAGGATAATAAGGACACCGATCTCCACATAGAGAAAGAGAGCCACAACCGTCCATTGCAGCGTCATCTCCGACGAGGGCCTTTAGAACCTGACAAAAGACGGACATGGAAGTCTACAGAAAACCAGTAAAGCACTGGGTTCCGGAGGTTTAGCCAGCTGCTTTTACTCCACTTGGACAACAATGCAGCCTCAGTTGAACGACATGCTGACTTAAGCTCCTTAGCGACTTTGTTCAAAGGGCACATACCTTGAAGAGTAAACTCGCCAAACTGTAACTTCACGTTGGTCAAACGCAGGTTATTGCTTAACGTTACTTTACAGTCCCACCCACAAGCACTGACAAAAAAGAAATTATGTTTGTATGCTTATTAGGGATACATATGATACACGTTACTCTTTTCATCTTCATAGGTCCAAGGGTCCGTTAAGGCGAGCCACCGATATAACGTTATTAAAAGTTACCCTGCGCAATACAGAATTAACGCTAACTGGCTAGCGCTAAACATTTAAATGGAAATTAGAAGGTATCAAAAAGTCAGTAGTCAGGCATAAAGAATACGTACTTACAATAAAATCACCAGAAAGAGCAAAAACAGCAAACGGTAAGAGACAACTTTTGTAATAATCAATGGAAAGTTTTTATGTCTCTCCCCCACTTCCTGTTCCTGTCGTCGGGGCCATTCAGGTCACGTGACGGACCTAGTTTCCGGTCCTGGTGTTTTCCCACGTGACCTATTTTTCCGGTTCTAGGGTTTTTCCAAAATAAGGTATATAATTTTCAAGATGATTTTCTTTAGCCAATTGTTTTTCTTCATAAAACCAGTTAAGTAATACATTTTAATAAAACAATAAATCAATCCCTCCCTGTTTTGCATTGATTCAATTGAATAATTTAGTAGGCAAAATTACACTAATTATAAGAATATAGCAGGTATTTAAATGATGGGTACTCGACCACAGAATTTATAAGCATTACCAATAAAGATTATATAAATATTAGAGTTAACAGTATCACCTTAGGATTTGTATTAAGTTCATGATTTTTTTTAATGCAAATTTCAACACTTGCCGCTAGTTGTGGTATCCGTAATAATTGATAACCATTTAGCGTACTTAGCAAAAAAACAAGTGGGATTTTGAGAATCTGTAAAATACAATAATCTTGGTGATAAAACTGATCAAAACCCGCGTGACCTTTGAGGGTGTGCAAATACATGGTCCATGTTCAATGTGGTAAATATTCAGGGAGGATAAAAGAAAATACTCAATTCTTAGTATGTAGCTTACATTTAGTGGTTTAGCTATAAATAATAATGATTTATATAATTAGCTAGACAATTAAAAAATACACCAATTAAGAAGACAGGCCTCTGTGGCTTCGCAGTTTTATTTGACATAAAAATAAAAACGTTAATACATTTAAAAAAAAAAGTTAAAATATCAAATTTCAATATTATTATGCTGCCAGATTTTGCACCGTCCCGTATGTGTTCTCGAGGTAATCAATTACAGCTGAAGTACTGGATAGAGAATTAAACACCTTTCTTTCAGGCTGGGAGCTAACCCTCTCCAGCATGTAGATAAGATGATGGTGGAAGCAGGTGAATTGAGTGCCCTGCTCAATAGCGATGTCCACCCAGTCCCATACGCACTCCAAAGGAGTGTCCTCATAGCCGGTGAACATGGCAGGGTTTGAAAGCAACCCCCGCGCAGCCATCACACCTAATAAGCAAATCCAAACAAAAATGTTTTTTTTTAATCCGTCATTAGTTGATAAAACGTATTTGTTATGGGTGTGATCTGATGAAAGCAAACCTACCATCTACCCCAGTAAGCTGGTGAATGGTCTCCACATCACGGAGGTACTTTATGTCCCCATTGGCGATCACAGGGATGGATACACTGTCTTTGATCGTTTTGATGGCCTCATAATGGACGGGCTGGTGGCGTTCTTCTGCTGTGCGGCCGTGGACCGTTATCCATGACACACCTGCTGATTCAGCCTTCTGACACAGATCCACTGTTTGCCTCAGATCCTTGTGAATTCTTTGGGGGGGGGGGGGGGGGGGAACATTTTGGTTATTTGATTTTAACACAGCAGAGTACAGTTAGATGAAAACTGAAAAGAGTATTTTGGCATTGAAAAATCAAGCAAAACACTATTGTCCAATAACATTGTTCTTAAAACAGATATCTTGTTCCAGAGATATTTTATTTTGAACAAGAACATTACCTAATTTTGATGGATGCGGTATAGTTGGGATTGTCCACTTGATTTCTGACATGTCTGACCATGTCTTTCACAAGTTCAGGCTTATTGATGAGGCATGCGCCATAACCGGCTGACATAGCCCATCTGAAAAACACACAAGACAATCAAAGACAATTTAACAATCCAAATAAAATTGAAGATTTGCAAGCATTTATACTGGGCACATCATTTAATAGATCTTTGTACACTAATTAATTATAGAAACATTTAGTTAGTATTACAAACAGTAGTGTTAAAAACAGAAAGATTTGATATTTATTCATTTCTAAAAAGAAGAATAATTCAAACAAACTATTAGCAATTGACCCTAAATCAACTAAACAACATGAAATAAGCAAGTAGGCAAAAAAAAGGAAGAAAGGAGGCCCAAACGTATCAAGGGCTGCTCTCAGTGACTGTACCTCTGGGGACATCCACAGTTGAGGTCAACTCCATCGGAGAAAGGTGCAACCACACAGGCTGCATCAGCCAGACTCTGAGCATCATGGGCAGCAAACTGTACTATCAAGGGCCGGTCACCTGCAGGGGTCAAATACATGGGAATATATATACTTAGTTCTCAGCAAGCTACAGCAACATAGCATCATGTGCAACGCTCACAATCAACAACACATTCATCGTGTTGCTGGATGGGCATCTCTGTGTGAAGATGCTGTGCAGCACAGGTGGCTACTCACTCTCATTGGTGGTGAATTCACTGTCTCTGGCTTTGACCGATCGCAGGAAGTCAGCAGCAACTATCATCGGGGTGAAGCAGATATCACAGCTGTATTTCCTCACCAAGGACCTGAATGCAAGCCTACGGGAGGAAAAAAATACATCAATGGGCATTGATGGTAAAAGGCAGCCCGGTATAAAGAGGAGAGGTGCACGCAGGGTGTTTTCCCTTCTTGGATTTCAAACAACAACAGAGAGAACACGACACTTACTTTGAATATCGAACCATTGGCGCACATATTTTCATGACTTTTCCTTTTTCGAACATGTCCATGACGGTGGTGTTTCCGTTCGATGTCTCCATCCTCCTCAAGGAAAGTTAACGTCGGTCTGCTAGCTAATGTTAGCATAACAAGCCTAACGAGCGATTATTGAGTTTACGGATGGATTCCGTCTTGTGACATCTATTTTCTCGTGTCTAATACTAAAGCCAGCTGGATACGGTCCGTGAAAGCCAACACGTTCACATAACGTTTGCTAGGTTTACTTCGGAACGAAACAAATAGTCCACCATGCTGGAGGGAAATGTGGGCGTGTCTATGACCTCTGAACCCATTGCGTCATTCCGTGTTATAACGTATGTGTGTTTATTTTTTTCACTTCTTGAATTTAAAGTCAAATCTAAATTAAACTGAGAACACATTTCCAGCGACGAATGAATGGAAATAGTCAAACTACGTACACAAACGTACGCAAGGATACATTTCTTCGAGGCTGTGTTACTTTCAGAATGCTTTTTGGTGCTGATTTGTCAATAACTTCGTAATTATTTTTTACATGATATTCACATCTTCAATCCCAGTCTATTTCGGGCGAGAGAGATTGGTCGCCAGTCAATCGCAGGGCTGACACAAAGACGAACAAGCATTCACACAGAGCATGTGTTTGGACGAGTACACGGAGAGAACCCACGAAGACATGGGAGAACATGCAGACACTCCACATAGAAAGGCCACAACAACATGGATCAATACGGCCATTAAAAGTTATTTTTCTATTGTCTCTTTTTGTTCTATTTAGGTAATTACCAAAGACTTAAAGTGTAAAAAAATATATATAAACCTTTAAAAATGTGCTCAAATTTTATTCAATGCAGTTGCGGTCTGTGCCATCTCAGCTCAACATAACCTCATAATGACGTCACCACAGCTACAGGTCATGACTTGTTTCGTGTAAACGCCTCCTCTTCACATAACAGTGCAACAGTTTGACAAGTGGAATAGAATGTTACATGAAGCGTTTTCAAGAGCACCGTAGCTTGCAACTCGACTGAGAAGCGCTCATTGCCGCACGTAGCAGCTGCTCGCTCTGTGACGCGTTTGACGTCAACTGCGTCACAAAGCGAGGACATCTGCTGAGAGCCTAGGCAGGGAAACAGAAACTGATGTCTGTTTTTTGTGTGTTTGTTTCTAGTTTATTGTAGAAAGCCCTTCAAATAGGCTTTATCATCCAAAAAGCTATCCAAAAATAGTGTCATTATGTATGTGCGTCATTATGCGATGACTCTACTGATCCGGCTCACTTGGGATCAAAGTGGTCAGTATGTGGCCCCTTAATAAGTTTGACACCCCCCTGTTTTATACACACACTGATTTCGGCAGTTTAAATATATATATTTATGGTGCAGTACACTTAAATGACCGCAAGAGGACAGTGTTTTTCTTCTAAAAGTAAAACGATTCATGTCGTGATCTTTTTCATTAAGATTAGATTCTTCTCGGTGAATAACTTTTGAGTTCATCCTAACATTTCTTAAAATCCATCTTTTTTTTAACTCAGGATGCTCAGTCCTTCCTCAGCCTGTAGAGCCCTTCGTATTACGGCCTTCTATTATTACTCTGCTGTAGACAACATACTTCCTGACCAGAGCTGAGTGAATAACAGGAAAAGAAAACCAAGCATCCAGGGCCACTTGCTTGTGCGTGCACTTTTCTTGTGTGTTGCAAGCAGAAAACCAGTTCCTGCTGGTACTACGACCCTAGGTTGCACGAGGACTTTGACTTCACAAGCCTGTGTATTTGTGTGAGAATGTCAATAGAATAGTCTGGCTATTCCTGGGCCATTTTTTTCTATATAATTAGAACATGTGGAAATATTCTGCTTGTTTGTTTGTTGTTACAATAGTACAGACGTATTGGTTTTCAAAATATGCTAATAATAAGTAACGCATTTATTTAAGTATTCATGCTGAGTGCCAGCCAAGAAGAGAAGATACAGAAGTATATTCTGATCATACGCGCACCCATACACATAGATGTTCGCACTCGCGCGCGCTAGAAAGCAAGCTGAAAGCCGGTAACGTCAATCAGTCAGCTTGGTTCCTTGAGCAGGCCTGTTCTCTACGGGATCAGTTGTTTTCCGTCACGCCTGCCCGCTCCATCGCTCTGCTGATTGATTAGCAGGCCTACTTGACAGCAGGGCACTGCTAAACAAGCCGACATACTCACACAGACACACACACACACACACACACACACACACACACACGCACACACGCACACATTTAAGCCTATTCAGGAAAGTAGCCGTCGGAACCAGCGTGGCGTTTCCATAGCGACATTGCATCCAGAATGCTTAAGTACGGGCTTTAGACGGCAGGGTCCCGGATGTTAAGTAACGTTGTTAGACGTAACGTAAGAATGCAACTTCTCATGTAAAAGCCCTCGCGCAGAAATCGCTCCTAGTCGCGTATTCCCTTTGATTTTCGAAAGCTGCTCTCTGGAGGCGAGGGGTTTTAAAGCGGCCGGATGACGTCAGCGTCTCCACGCAGCCGCCAAAGAGATCAGACAAAGCGTGCCGCCGTTTTTTTCTTCTTTTTTTTTCTACAAACGCTCACGATCGGAGGTTTGTAACGCGGTTGTTAATCCATTCCGAATAATGTCCGTGTTTTGTCCCTTTTCGCGGGGAGGGAGCACGTCCCGGGGCGTGTGGGCGGTTACGGGCGCTGTGCGTGATTCACAAACCTTATTTGTTCGTACTACTTTGAGCGCCATCTTGTTTGTAACTCTTCTACGTAAGTGGTAGAGTTCCTACCGAGGGGGGTGTCCGATTACCCTTTTTCCCGGCGTTAGTCTGGAAAGCTCTCCCTGTAGGGCGCGTATTGCCTTTGCTTTGTCTCCTATTCAAAAAAAGGAAGAGAAGCCGCAGTCTTTCTAACTGGACAGAAATGAGCATCGAAACGCTTCTGGAAGCAGCCAAGTTTTTGGAATTGCAAGCCCAGCAACAACATAAAGCACGTGGTAAGTTCAATTTTATTTTTAATCATATACAGCATCGGTAACTTTGGACACACCAATTGCAAAACACTTTCTTTTTTTTGTTGTTTTGACAGAAGGATCCGCTTTCTGAGTTGCAGTCAAACCCCGCGTACATTCATTAACTAACGTTAATCACTAAACGCGTTTTACATCTGAACGCGATCGGTGACACATTAGTTTTACTTTCACATTCGCGTGTGTGTGTGCAGAATTTTCGTTTCCCCTTTGAATCACGTAACGTTGCGTCTCCCCCTCCCGAAGTCGCCGCTGTCCACAATAGCTAATAATAAACCCGCACGGACTGCTGCAGTATCAGGGGTTACTGCGCCGAGCTGCATAGACAACAACAGGACGCCGCACGGCGGCACCTCGGGGGTCTCCGAAGCGCGCGCCCCCCTCCTTTCCTTCTTCTCCGTATAACTGGTGTTTTTCTCCCATGCGGGGATAAAGGGCGGTGGCGCAGGGAAGCTCGTTTTACATAATGACCTAACGCCGCCCGCCGGGGATCAAGTGACTGGCGGCGTTCAGGCTTCCCCTAACGTGCTTTCTTTCTTCTCTCTCCCCCTCCCCGCCCCCCAAATCCGTGCCGCGCTAAACACGTGACGCGTCGTGCTTGTGTAACGCGGCGTACGTGTGTCGCTCGGATCGATCGTAACTGGTAAAAAAATAATCGTAACCCCCCCCCCCTGCAGCCTTTCTGCCGCTTTTTGGGGCGCTAGCGTGTCTGTGGATGACGTGTGCCAGCTTTGACCACGCCTTCGGATGGTAACAGCGTGGGGGTGGCCACGCCCTTTTCACCACGTGCGTGCTCATAGTGCGTGCTGGGTTACCCCTCCCAAAGATTGTTAAGGAAGAAGATGAGTCACTACGACGTGTATATTAATAGAGTACTGTTTGAATTGTGACAATACCACAAATGGCTTAGTTTTAATAACAAGAAGCATTAAACAACGCACACTGCTACTAATCAGATCTAACAAAGAGGAAGACGCATGTTTTTACAGGTTTATTATGTGATTGTTTTGCTAGATTTCTACCATTCACACCGAGACGTTAACACAAGCTCGTTATTTTTCAATATCGCACCCATTTAAAGACGTCTGTGACTATTGCCTCCATAAATGCACATCGCACAAGACAGAACTAGCGTTGGATCTTTGCAAAAATGATGTTTTGAGTTTTTAGTCATCTCAGTTTACCAGAGTAACTTGGTGGCAGGAGAGCGGAGATGATTCCCATCCAACATAGCTGTACCACTGGAGCATATCCTTCGACCTCCGCACTTGTTCCCACAACCAGTAAAGCCCTGTTTACAAATGTACTCAAGTCTACATGAGCAAAACAACTGTTGATGAACATGAAAATGTCTCAATGCAGAATAGACCTCAGGTTACGACATGTTAACCTGAACCTGAGCAGTTAACCAGCTCCCCTCGTAATTAAAAACAGTGGTCAAAGACAATAAATAAGGAGTTTTTTTTCCCCATGTTGTGATGTCTGATGGAGGCTCAGAGTGGGCGCTCCTGCCTTCCCCCTCACCCTGCTCCTCTCACCATGCTGCATTGGGAGAGCAGTCTCTCCTTAACCCCCCTCCCTCCCCTGTCCTCCCCCTGCTACTGTAGAGCAGGTCACTGTGTGGAGAAAAGTAGGCCACTGTTTCTCGATGTGATGCAGTTATATAATGACTATAGAAAATCCTCTTGTTTTCGTAGTGCATCCTACATGCTCCCTCAGAGAAAGGAAACGGTGTGTGTCTGCGCCGTAATCCGAACAATCAGTGTCTCATAAGAGGGGTCAACGTCTTATGAAAGCTGTCCAGCACAGAAGCCAGGACACCTTGTTATTTTCTACACTATTGTACTGTAAACGTATGTATGCAGCAGACATCAGACCTGGAAATGTTGCTTTTTTCCATTTGCTAGATTTAGTTCTTTACAACGTGGATATAATCAAAGCCGTATTACTGTCCTTTTCACATCCTGAATGGATTGTAATCAGTGGTCTTCTCTGGAAATATGAAGTTGTATTGATCACTCAGAAAACTACTGGTGTCAAGTTGAATTTTTTCTAACCCAAATGAGCAACACTGATTACTAAAAGGTAATTGAAGGTTACGATGTTCAGCGTTATCATTAATCCTCCTTTGTGTTTAGTGCCGCATGGAACCCTCGTCCTCTTAACAATTATGAAATTGACAACCACTTGCGTTTGCCATCTCGACATCGAACGTCGCTGCCAGCTGCCATAGCAACTAGACTCCTGCATCCGTACGTTATGAAGAGGGCGTCTCGAACATAATTGGATCGAACCAAAAAGGAAGCTAAAGATCTTTGACTCTTCTTTAATTGTCAAAATACAGCACGTCTCTGAAGCGTGTCCAGGCGCGTCCCATTGTTTGTCCCATTTTCCGGTGCACGCTTGGCTACCAATGTTTGTCCAAGTTGATGCAATACGAATCCCCGACGTGTGGTGTTTACAGCAATTTTTTTGAATCAGCAAAACACGCACGTCGCACCGCTCACGTTGGCCTTTTCCGTGAAGTGATCCCCAGTCCACGTTGTTTTTTTATAACCCTCTTCGCAACCTGCAGCATGTTATGTCCTTGTCACAGGGGACAGAGGATTCCCCCTGGGTGGGGCTTTGTCAGTAGAGATGTAGATCAGACTTGCACCCACCTCCCCGACACCACCTGGCAAGTGGACTGTGATTACACTACAGCTGACAAAAAAACACAATTTAAAAAATGTTAAACAAAGAAGCAGCTGTCTTGCAGCAGTAATGTCCAATAAATGATTGCACAAATGTCGGCGAGTGCCGATGGAGAGCGAGGACACGTTTCCACCTCCGGTTTGACGGGTTTGTCTTGTTTCCTCCACAGAGGATGAACAAAAGGAAAAGCAACGTCTGGAGCAGCTGGCGGAGCAGAGGCACTGTGATGTGAACTATAACTCAACGCTCCACATCAACAATGTCCCTAAAGCGGAGGAGCGCCGCCCGCTGCCCGTCCCGCCATCTCTGGCTCCCCCCCCCATGTCCATCACAGTCATCCCCATCCCCGTGGTCGCCCCCAACCCGGGGGGCTCACCCACGCTGCCCGTCGCCACGCTCTCCCCTCCAGCCGCCGCCGCCGTTCTGCCGCGCTCTCCCCAAACCAGACCCGACCACACGACCTCTGTGCTGACCGCCAACCACAAGCAGGTGATGCAGAACCACCACCATCACCACCACCACCACCAACAGCTCATCGCCCAAACCCCCAACGCCAAACTCCAGCAGCTGGTTCACCGCTACCCGGGCTCCATCGTCTCCCCCCCCCAACAACACGCCTTACTCCCCCAGGGGGGCACCGCCGCCCAGCAGGCGCCGCCGCCGCCGCTACAGGACGGCCCCGTGAGCCGGGGGAGTCCTCCGGACGACGGCCGCCAGCTGGACAAGAAGCGGCCCGGGGGGTACGTCAGCGTAATTGAAATGGGGCCACAACAACGACGGGAGTGTCGCTTTTAATTCAGCCGTTTTTGTTTTTTTGTGTCAAAATATCGGTTGCATAAGTAGCAACTAGCAACATTTAGCATTTGTGAAGCTGTTACATTATTGATATTTATTGATCCTCTGATACACTGTAACTACACTACCTGCTCGCAAAAACACAAGGGAACTTTTCTTTGGTTGATTAAGATTATTCTTGTCACATTGCCCTTTTTAAACACCAAATTCTTACTGTGCTCTCATCTGTGCTCTTACAGGGCAGGCACAAGAGAAGTGCATAACAAGCTTGAGAAAAACAGGTGGGTTCAACCTGTCTACCATAGGGCCTCCTAAAGGAGAGTGCAATCTGAGGTTATTTGTGCTGTTACGTCTGAATAATGCTGTACTAGTAACGTAGTGTGTTGTCTCTGAAACTGGCTGGTGCCTTTTTGTTTTGTAGTGGTTTCATTTGCTCTTTTTGTAGTTGAGGACACCAATTGCAAATACTGATCATGCAGTGATACCGCGGTGGCTCAGCCATTTCCCGCTGTCTTGAATCTCCTCTCTCTTTTTGTTTTGTGTCCGTCAGACGAGCACATTTGAAGGAGTGCTTTGAGACGCTGAAGAAGAACATCCCCAACATCGACGAGAAGAAGACCTCCAACCTGAGCGTGCTGAGAAGCGCGCTGAGATACATTCAGGTGAGACGAGCCCACCGCCCATTTTCCTCCGTGAACGCTGAGCATTCACGTGACGTCGATGAATTCAGGCTCCCCGTGTCCGACGCAGTGGATCGCCACGGGTCAGACGTCGCCAGTTCTGTCGCCGACTCGAGTGAAGCCGCGTTGGCTGCAAAACGACCGAACCGTTGATGTGCAACAGTTTGCTCCGTCGGCTGACGCGTAGATGGAGAAGTGTGAAAAGCCTCGGTCAACCGCTTCTCTTCTTCTTTCTTGCAACCCTCCACATGCTCCTAACAGGGAGCGCAGCCACGGCCGTGACACAACTCTTGGTTACGGATTCTCTTCAGGCATGAAGTGTTCATGACGGTGGAAAGGAAAAAATAAGGGATAAGAGGGTTTTTTTTATTTTTTGTTTGGCATTGGGTTTTTAATTTAACCAGGTTTCAACTACAATTTCCTGCTTAGGCTGGCGTTCCCCCTTAAAGGGGCGTGGCAACAACAAATAGATGACACATTGCCGCTCTGATGTGTGCTTGTGAACCGGTTCATTTATTTACGATTACTCTTGAACAAACTGAGCGTCCATTATCTAGAAGCCAAGCTGCATTATGAGCTATGCGCGTTTTCCCCAAGAGGAGCGGCACATTGTAAAAAAAGGGGGAAATAACTCCTTAAGTAGCATACGCACGGTCACATCTGTAACTGTCCAGCGTTCGCTTAATCGACTCTGAATATGATGATGATAAATGGGTGGATTCCACCGTACCGTGGTCATCTACATGATACGTACATCCTGCTCTCCCAGCTATCGGGGATGAACTGGATTTGAAAGTGATTCTGGGTCTAACAGTCTGCACAAAGACGTCTGAAATCCTCCTATTCATTCATTGTAGGGATTCATAGCATTTGTAAAAAGTATGTTTCCCGTCTACCAATGAGGGGCCGTGTGTTTGTGCACATATGTGTGTGCACATATATGTGTGTGTGTGTGTGCGTTAGCATCCTGGTTGTAAACAGCCGGTGCAAAGGTCCACTGCTGGCCCAGTTTGACTCTTTCAGGGTGACTGTGCTGCTGGGTGGGTCGTGGTGTCAAGCCTTCTCTCGCCATGTTGGCACCAATGCTAAGGAATGGTTCTCAGGTTTTGTGTGCATCTGCTGTTTTTGTTCAAATCTCATGGCCTCTCTCTTTGCTAAATGTGCTAGTTGAGGCAGCTGCTGTTGTGGGAACCACCACAGAACTGGTTTGGAGTACTTCCAGGTATCTGCGTGTCTGCGGACCGACTTTGTTGATGGCATCACAACCACGCTCGGTGCATTCGTGAAGCCGCCCAGCTGTGTTGTTGTTGTGGGTGAAAGCCACGTTCGCAAGACGGGTGACGGCTGCTGTGATCCCATTGCATCCGATCATCTCTGGTTCTTAGGCCCACATTTGGTTTAGCGCAGCAGTCCTGGGCTACCTGCTGTGCTCTGTGAAAGCACCCCCCCATTGCCCCCTCACTGCAGAACCGCCCGCTGATGTGCATCTAGACACTGAGCTGCTGGTTTGATGCTCTAGGAAGCAGCAGTCTGGTTTCTTCCTCTCTGCGTGTGGATACTGAGAGAAAGTAGGACAGCGTGGGTGCAGAGCGCGTACGTCAACCCCCCCCCCCCCCCACGATGAAGCAACACCACGTTAAGAGGGTTGTGTTCGACTGGCCTCCTATCCACAGCCGGCCCCCACAGAGGATGTGTGTTTTTTTTTCTTCTTCTAGCAAGTGAAGAAAATGGTGTCAGCCTCCAACATCCCGTTAAAACAATACGTATATTCTTTAGACCTCACAAACAGCAGCGGAGCGACTGGCCTTTTGTTCCCCGGGAGTGGAGGGAAAGAAAGGGAACGGAAACCTGACGCCACGTGTTCACCGCGTCCTCGTGACACGCGCGGTGCGGACGCGTGTCCTGCGGCCACACCCCCCTTCCCTCCCCTGTTCATTTCAAGTCCGAATGACGCAGCGACCAATTGGGCAGAACACCCACCACGTAAATACGATTGGCTTGATGTTACCGGCGTCTACGTCTACGTGTACGACATGTTGTTCCTAAAGGCTCAAGAGCCGGGATGCATGCGCCCCTCCCTACATCCTGTCTGCCTGAGCTTTTAAGGCCACATGAGCAGCGAGCACATGGCTAGCCTGAGCTGCGTGACGTCACCCCTCCCCCGCCCCCTTGTGTGCCCCTCCCCCCCTGCTGCAACAGGCGGGACTTGCATGTAGCGCCAGGCTGAGCAACCGAGCGGTAAACACGCGGCTCGTCTTACTCCGCCCCCGCGCTTTATTTCCCCCTCGTCGCCGACTGAACTTGTTCCTCTGCTGTCCGTCCCACTCTGCCGCCTTTCAAACGTGTCCTGGTGTAGAGGTGGAGGAGGGTGGGTGTTTTTTTTTGGTGTGAATTAAATGTAATTGTGCACTTAAAGACATATTTCCCAGGGGGGGGGGCGTGCTGTAAAAACGAAGCCGCACTTCGCGTTGTGCTACTCATTCAGCCATGAAACATTAAAAAGAATCAAGTCAATGCGGACTATTGAGCGCTCCTTCGCCGCGCTGAGGCAATCGGGTCAGTTCATGGCCATCGCAAAACTCGCACACGAGGAGCGGTGTGCAAAAGTGGGGGATTTGTTTTGTCCCCAGACAATCCGGTTATTGTTGCACTCCGGCGCCATGTGAGGTTCTCTGTTGCAGCTCGGAGGCACAGCGAGACACGGGTTCACGGTTACCACACTGTCACAAGACCTGTGCTGGAGCCTGATCCTCCGAAGGCTTGTGCAGAATGTCTGCAACGTGGCCTCCTCGGGCTGCCGGCCCTTTAAGAGAGACCAGCCTTGAGCCGCCTGCTGCAAAAGTGAGTCAGTGAGTGCAGCACGCATTGGTCTCTTTCGATCCCCCGCTATCCCCCCCTCCCCCCTCTCTCCGTGGAGCCATGTGCTCGGCACTCGCATCGCCTGGTGACGGCGCTTGAGCGGTGTTTACCTTCCACGCGCTCGCACGTATACTGCAGCGCGGCCCCCCTGTGCTGAGCTGGAGGTTCACAAGCATCAAGGCCTCGTCTCCGTCAAAGGTGGAGCACGGGAGTCTGGCACGTTCAGAGACAAGGTACTCTGCCAGATCAGTTGTGACGCCGCTCACGTAAAGCTTCCTGCCCAAACATGTGTAAGAGCCAGACCACGTGACACGTGTTTTGCATGCTCTTTTGCAAATCTCTTTTGCACCGTTCAGTAAGATGGAGATAAAAGCGTTCTTTGATCAAATCGGGGTCTTTTTACCGCGTTACTCTCGGCTGTGGAATGAATCTTTTGGATGCAGAAACAATTTTAGGAGAAAAACTAAACGGCCCCTTTGGCACGCAAAGGTGTGCGTGTTCTTTCGGGTTACCGAGGAAACGTTAATAGGTCTTCCTCTGTTCCCATGACGACCAAAGATGGGGGCATTTTCAGTAGTTCATTTGTTGAGACCGAGGATAATGTTAATGTGTGCTGACTGCAGTACGGATACATCAGCTCTTCTCGAGGGAGAGAGGTCGCTGCAGACGCATCTGAGGAAACGCGTCTGTCCTCATGAGCGCCTCACTCGTCCTGCTCTCCAGGCGTCCATTAACATGCAGTAACTAAATATATTGTACTGTATGGTGTACACGCACAGACCGCGCTTTCTACGTGTAACCAAGCACAACACACACACACACACACACACACGCGCCTTCTTCAAGCCAGCACTCTTACACACGATGACTTGCACATGAATCACACACACACACACACAGTGTCCACTCTTTAAGGAAATGGCTTTATGATCCTGTCTTTGGGTTTGCTGCTAACCGATTCCACACTGTGTCATTTCCTGAGCCGTTCCCCCTGCAGGCCAGAGTGCACGTCGGATACTTGTGATAAATTATTGTGAAGTGTTCAGTTGAAAAACATAAATCCTCCCCCGTCTGTTTAAAAATAATAATAAAATGAGCCTCCACAAGGCTGTTGCTCAACGTTTCTTCGGTTGATTAGGTTTCTGTGCACTTCCTGCTCCAGCTCTCCCCTCTTAGTCCCGCTCAGTGTGTTTTGCTTGGTGTCAGCTGATGGGTTAAAGGAAATTGGGCCACGGGAGAGCCAGTGCCTGGATACACCTACTTTACATACCCCCTCTCACGTCCTCCAGCCCTCGTGCCTCTGCAGGCTCCTATCACAGGACCTTTATTTCTTAGTCCTATTCCGTATTAATCAGCTACAAAGACGGCGCGAGCATCAATGATTGTTTTCTTTTGCGTTTTATTGGTGTCACGTGCTTTAACTTTGGGCGGTAGAATTCCTTTGAGGCTCAAATAAAAAAGATAACTAATTGGCTCTGAAAGAACGAAATAAATGAACGTGATCAAGAATTGGAAGCCCGGTCGGGGACATCTGGAAGAATGCAGCCAACAACAACAACTTCTCTCGTTCTGGTAGATTAATTTGTCAGATCACACACACACACACACATAAGTATCAGCGCTGCGTTTGCAAAAGCAGGAGCAGTTCTGTCAGCTCGCAGGCCGGAAGAACAACTGATCAGGAAGAACGCATTTTGTACTTCTTATATAAAAGATTTCCTCTCGCCGCAACTCACGATCCAATCACATACAATGTGTGGTCTCCTAACATCCATGTAAACATAACGACCAAAGCGTGAGTGGTCCTTGGTGTGTCTCTAAATCTCATCCTCATCAGACCTGTGTCTGCCTGGTTGACACTTTTCCCTCTGACCTCCTGACGCACTCCTCAAGACACTGACTCCCTAAAGGAGCTCTACGAAAGAGCTTTTGATTATCAGCCGTGTTTCAAAGATCGTTCACCACAGTCTTATTCTAAACCATTGAGTAGGATGTTAAATTGAAAACGTCTCTGACAGTGTCAAGAAAATGAAGCTGTATGAAGACCGGATGTATTCTGCTGTCGTTGTATTGGATTATCACACGGTCACCAGCCACTTACACCTATTGACCATCGTCCGCTCTCTCTTGCAGACGTTGAAGCGGAAAGAGAAGGAGTACGAGCACGACATGGAGCGGCTGGCCAGAGAGAAGATCGCCACGCAGCAGCGGCTAGCAGCGCTGAAGAACGAGCTGAGCCAGTGGATGGACGTGATCGAAATCGACCGCGTCCTCAGGCAGACCGTGCAGCCGGAGGAGGACCAGGCGTCCACCTCGACGGCCTCAGGTAGACTGTCCCTCAGGGGCCGAAAGGCATATCCCAATGAATATAGCGTAATGTATGTTAAGAAGATAGAAGATGAAGTGAATGTCAATGTGAAAAGTGTGGCCACGTTTTCTCGTTCAACTCAATGATGATACTGAGCTTATTATTTCCTCTGTTGGTCCTGCAGAAGGTGAGGACGTCATGGACGAGGACATGGAGGATGAGAGCGCTCCGAGAGCACAGGCCGCCTTGCCCACCGCGCCTCCGACCATGAAACCTGGGCCGCACGCAGCTCGCGTACCTCCCCAGACCCCAACCCTGATACCCACCACTACCTCCTTCATCACCCAACACATCTCCATCCAGCACCACCCTCAGCTCCAGCCGCTGGCCGTGACTCCTCCGCTGCCAGTGTCCAAGCCCGCCGCCCGCCTCACCCCCAGTCAGCCCCTGATGCCCACCCACGCGCAGATGGTGAGCGCCTCCAGCCTGCACCCCACGGTCATTGCCCGTGCTTCAGTGTCCCACCCGTCGGTGATCCAGGCGGTCAACCACGTCATCCACGGGGGGGGGCCCAAACACATTGCCCACCTCGCTCCATCCACGACCGCCAGCGGCGTCCACCTGGCCCCCGGCCACCAACCCATCGGCCACATCACCATGCACCCGGTGGCCCACCTGAGCCAGCATCTGCCCGCCCTCTACCCCCAACCGGTGGCGGTCACGCAGTCGGCTGTGGTCGGTCACATCACCCACACGCTGAACCACGGCCACCCGCACATGAACGGCGCCGCCGCGACCAGCCAACCGGCCGCCGCCATTGTCGGCAAGCAGACAGCAGTGAGCGCCCAGATGGTGACCCACCACCCGCAGCTGGTGGGTCAGACGGTGCTGAACCCTGTGACAATGGTGACCATGCCCTCCTTCCCCATCAGCACCCTGAAGCTGGCTTGAACACTGGCTTGGACCACCAGGCTGGGAGACGGAGACGCCCCCCGCTCAAAAGGCGAGTGGAGGGGGCGGGCGGGCGAGCGGGGGAGAGGGGGAGAACAGGCTGCCCGACGAGGCCGCGAGAGCCGCTGGACGCCTCCGGCACCAGAAGTCATCAAGAAGCAGCACAGCTGATACGAAGCCAGGAACATTCCTTCAACGAACCCTCTTTCCATACTCGTCCACCACAGGGTCTTGAGATCTTGATCTTCAATTTAGGACATTGTTGGAAGTCATCACGTTGTGCGTTTGTTTGTGTGTGTGCGGCAATATACGGGCAGATGAATTCGACCGTCACATGTCACCGGCGTTGCATGAGCTTTCGCAGAAGCTGCTTCGTAGAGCAAAGGGCCGCCACGCGAGGACGGCGTTTGCGTCCGCGCCCCCGGTTGTGTTCACGTAGGAGCTGGGCGGGGGGGCGGGGATGAACTAGTAGTAGATCATGTGTTTCAGAGGCTGCACCGTAAGCTCAAGAGTGCGAAACCAGTCATAACCAGCGCGTTGGGAATGTGATTTAGAGGCGCTCCGCCTCCCCAGAGGAGGCGCCCGGGCTGCACGGAAACCACGGACTGAAGCCTGAACAGAAGCTGCAGTCCCGGGCGACGGCGCGTACAGCCACAGCGCGCCCTGCTGGCTGACTTGAAGTTGTCGATGACGATTAAAAGAAGAAATAAAAAAAGTTTCAGTTAAGTCATTTGTCGATGGGTAATTTAGAAGAGCAACTTAAGAACAGAATATGCAGTTTTGTCAGGGTTTGGTTTTAAGTGTTGGACACTCAAATTGTTACTTTCCGCTCGCTGAGCACAAGAAAGTTAAAGGATGAAGTTTTGTTTGTCACAGCTGCTATGTATTTTTTTCAAATTTCTTTTTATGTTTTGGCCAAATAAAATCCAGTTTTAGATGCCCCTTAAATGTAAACACCACAACACAGTAGTGTGTTTAAATACTAAACGTGTGAGAAACAAACCGGGACACCGCGAGGGGGGATAGAGTGTTCCCGGGTTTTGAATGTGAATACATTAAAAAAAAAAAAAAAGGTCCATAAAATGTAGTTAAGTGACTTTGGTAGGATGTGAGTCTGCGTGCTGTGAAAGCATTGGGGATCATGTCGAAGGAGCCGTGGCGCGAAGTGATCTGGACAATGTGTTTTATTTAAGATCATCCTTTTCCAAAGCTTAGCACTGTGAACATTTCTATAGTCTCCATGAGCAGTTTAGCGTAGCACTTGCTAGAAGAGCAGCAGGCCGTGTTCTCCTCGTTTACTCTGAATGTACTCGTCTATGAAAGAGGTGGAGCGGCGCGCTCGTCAGAAGTTAAGCCCGCCTTCCCCCCTTTTTAAAAAAACAAACAAAACAAATGCGATTACTTTATTAAAGTATCTTGTGTAACATTTAAAGATGATTTTTTACTTTTAAGACTTACTGTTGCTTGTTTCATCTGGAGAATTTTTTTTTTTTAATGTCCAGACGTATGTGAAAGTATGGATTGTTTTTTCACCTGGGACCATGTACAGTGCTGTACATCAGGGAGGACTCTCCCCCCCTTGATGTTACGTTTGGAAAGAGTATTCTCCCCGTAATTGTTATCTATTTCGTTCTGATGCAATATGATTAAAGCGCGGAATCTTAGCTTTGACTAAATAGTTGAAGAGATAAAGTAACTTTTTTTTCATCCTCGTGTTATGCAAGTAATATTGAACAAATCATATTGTAGCAAAACAAAATGTGTACAAACAAACAAGGATTCAGATACTTGAAGCAACAATATACTTGTGTGTTTTCCCTATGGAGAAAGTTTGTATATAGCCTGTAATTGTTGGGCTGCATTTAGATCTAATTGTATTATGTAAAAAGCTGGGGAAAGTATGTAAAATAAAAATTTATAAAAAATATACTTAATAAATTGAATTATGTTTACAAATGTCTGGAGCCCCTTTTTTTTCCAAATGTTATGGTTACGGTCTGCTTGCCAAGAACATTAGTTTAATTATCACTTATTTATGCAATAATCCTGTTGATTGCTTTTTTTGGAAAGTAAGATTGCATCTTCAAATGTGATGTTCAACCAAAAAACAGCACTACAAGATACTGATACTGAGTACAGTACATTAAAATGTAAAAGGCCAAAATATTGTATGGTGTAAAAAAAAAGTGGCTATTTGTTTCTTTCGTACTAAAACATGACCTTTTTAGGCAATTTTATTTTTATACATTTACATTAAAAATTTTTGTTTTTTGGCACATTAGAACATTACTTCTTTAAACACACTTTAGAATAGAATGAATAGGCCTCATGTACTAGGAGTCATTTTGTACAATGACTTTTACATTTATGATACATTAGGCATCTTTACAGTAACATTTAATGACAGTCTACTTTGACTTTATTATCCGTTGGATTTGAATAAAATATTCCAAGATGTTTAATGACATACTAAATGAGAATTAAGAATATTGTCATCAAAAGAATAAACAATCACAAACGTCAGTGTTAAACAGGCATAGGCCTACTAAAGTAATCAATGTTTTTAAAAAGTCATAGTATGTAATATGAAATATAGGATAGTTGTATAAACATGTCATTAGAAGTCATAGTGTGTATAGTATGTAAAGAAAATAAAATGTAATTGTATATTATGCCAAATTGTCTTCGACAGTTATGGAATATCACAATGACATTAAAAAGTAATGGTATGGTATCCAAAACGGTTGCTTTCTTTTCAGTCAGTACGCTAATGTCATAAAATGTAAAAAAAGTTTTAGTACAGTAATTAAATAAAGATCAAGTCAACATAGTTCCAAACCGTTGTTTTTGTTCACGGTACATCCAGGCCACTACTTTTGAACAAGGGCAGGTTTTCTGATCTTTGCTACTGAAAATAAAAGGCAACCAATCACACTGTAGAACATAAAAGACATGCAAACAACGAGGAATGTTGGTTATAAACACACATAGTGTGTAATGATGGACATTATCATGTAGGATTAGTTGATTAAAGTGTTTTACAGGTTCAACTCTTTTATTAAAATAAACTCAAAGCACTCAATTCAGCGCACATTTCACAACATAAAAGCTAAACCCAATGTCTGATCGAGACTCAGTATTATATTTATTTTTTATTACGATATGAGAATTTGTACATATCGTACTCTCCATTTGCATTTCATTTTTAAATTTATTACATAAATGTACTTCAAAAAGTAGGATAACAAGACAAATTTGATATAAAAAAATCTAATACCTGACTCTGGGACAGAATCTCGTGGAATGTCTTTTTTTAACATAAAGGTAACAACATTCTATTGATTTATATTTGGGAACATAGAAAAGATTAGCAAAATAATGTTAAACGCATTATTTCTTTTCATTAGCTTGTCAATACAAAACTTATTTTGCAAATTGAAAAACTCAAATCAATTAAGTTTGTCATTGTTGGCTTTGGTAACGTTACAATTAGCACACATTTGATATCCCTTGGACACAACTATAGCAACCAAAGTTAAATAAAAAAAAAATCCACCTCCTCTCAATATTTTCTCCCCAACCATTAAGCAGCTACATATTTCCATTGCCCGCAAATAACCTGATCACTAAATTGATCTGCAATCTGAAAAAAACCTTCACAGAACACATGCAAAATGAAATACACTGCATGGCCTTTACTGCAACCTTTGCCCCCTAAATCCTAATCCACACCAACGACTAGACGTCACCAGCAGTTCTGGAGGAAGAACTCTGTTTGGGGTAAATTCTGCAGTTTATACTACTTAGTTTTTATAAAAGGTGGATTATTTAAATGCAAACAGTACAGTAAGCTTTGCATTGAGTGGAGTAACTAACATCCATGGTGTTGGGAAGCAGAGGGGGCAACTATGATACACATGCAGATGCTGATAAAGCAAAGTCTGAATGAACCTAAACGATCCTCAGATTAAGATTAAACCAAATTAAACAGCAAGAACCTCAGATGAAGAGAAATACAAATAAAACAGTCATCTAAACACAATGCCAAGATGTGTAGTTTAAATACAACCAGGAGCACATAAAAGAAGAAAAGCAATACAACTATATTTATGAGCCTAATATAGAAAATTAAATTATTACAATATGTAAAACAAACCAACAAAAAAAAAGTAGGCCATGACATGTAAACCTCATATAAGATCATGTAAAAATAGAATAACCCTGTGATCATGTGACTAAATAAAGTTCATATATTGGAAAGATCTGATCGCAACATGCGCCCCTCTTGTCATTCACACAAACATCTTTTGAATCTTTTAAACATGTTGACAAATCAGAAAGCAGAGGAGTAGAGGGGCGAGTGTGTTTTGGCGGCGAGTGAGGCCATCGTGTCAGAGAGGAGAAAGGGAGGCCTGCAAATGTCAGAGCATCTTACCGCCTCCTCGCAGCTCCCTGATCCAAGTGTTACGTGCTACAGATGAGGTTCAGTGGTGGTTGGCCGGACGTCAACGTTCGAGGATGGAATAAAAACTTTCCCCGGGGGACTAGTTTGTCTTCTGAAACACAGAGACGTGCACCCCGGCGCTCGTCCTGCGTTAATAGCCTTCCTTCTGAGTGTGCATTTGATCCTGGATCCTCTGCAGCATCGCTTGCATCCGCCGCAACTGTGAGCAGAGGGGAGACAATAATTATTCACACGTGACCGAGCGGGGAATTCAAGAGACACTCATGATGCCAGACTGCTCTCTGCAGAACACGTGAGAAGGGCTGAACATCTGTAAGGAGCGGCTGGCTCCTTCAGCTGCCACTTTATCCACACTGGAGGCTAAACGATCGCCCTTTGTGTTACAAAAGCAGTAAAACGTACTCGCATCACATGCAGTTCTTTTCTCTTATGGTTCAAAGGATTCAAACGTAAATATTTGTTCTCTCCGATTTAGCTTAACTTTTGTTGGAGAACCAACATACGACCGTACGTGCCGTGATGTGTGCAGAGCGGTGCGTGTTGGGTTTGCGCTCATCATTTTCCAGTTTCAAACACACAGTGAGAATGTGCAGTGTCACAGTTTAGATTGTTCTTATTATAGTCACACACACACACACACACACACACACACACACACACACACACACACACACACACACACACACACACACACACACACGAAAAACGCTTCAGATTAATTGATTGTTGCAAATCTATTGTTTAACCACATGCGAATACTGGTTCCACAAAATAAACACTTGAAAGAAAAAAAATCTCTTTATTTAAAATAAATCGATATAGTGGGGAAGTCGGGATGATGATCATTCACCACACACAGATCTTTCATTAATATGAAAACTCACACCATCTACAATGATGTGTGTGTCTGCTTTCGTCTTTTGTTGACTTACCTGAAAATACGTCACACTTTGTCGGAAAACGAGTATATAATAATAAATGGAGCCTAAAAGTATTACTTTTACATCTACAGAAGAGGTATTTTTTCATCATATCCTCTAACCAAAGCATATTTCATGGCATTTTAGCCTTTAAATATCTGTTGACTGTCTGTTAAATTCTAACAATACTAATTTCTTGTATGCACCGCAATATAAAACCTGCAATGGAAGTTTTTACCAATGCCGGTTTCCAACCAGTGGTATTATGAAACATTGGTCTTTTCCTACCATCAGTTCAAACTCACAAGGACGGACGGGGGGTCGGAGGGGGGGGGCGGTTAAGGTTCTGAATGTATAGTTACACCAATTGATGTTTTTTAAGGCTACTCATTGTCAGCCTCAGAAAACATGATCTGAATGTGCTTCAAAGAAAAACATCGGTGTCCTAGAGACACTCAGAGGGCTTCATCGGAAAGGTCTCTCTGTTCCGAGGGCGTCTCTGCGCGGGGCGGAGGCTCAGGGTTCTCGTGGGGGGCGGCACTTTGTTCACACTCGTGCTCGTGTTGGCTGTGCGAGTCTCGCTGTTGCTCGGCGTGCCGTACCTCCTCATCTTTCTCTCGGATGAGCTTTTCTGTCTCGTCACCCACGGCGGGCACCACCGGGATGGGGAAGTCGGTGCCGCTCTCCCTGGTCAATTTACTACGGAGAGATGCACGTCATGGTGAGAAAATTAAACATCTACTGTACCGTAAAGAGTGAGCCCGCAATGCTAGATGGATCTGGACCGTTTAAGTGAATTACACGATATCACACAACACAACATCACCCTACCAAGAGAATACAGGCACTATGTACACAGACACCAGACCTATGTCAGATCATCAGTGTGTCAGACTGTTGAAGTACTAAGAAAAATATATGATTGAAAGTTATTTCAATGTGTCCGTAGGATGGATAAAGGACAAAATCGTATCAATAGACCTCTTAAAAAAGGATTTCCTCTTCAAAAGTATGGGTCTACGAACGTCTAAATATGTTTACTCCTCATATTGGTTGCAGTATGTAAAGGACCCCCTTGCTCCAGTTCAAGCGTACTTGCGGTTGCGTTCCTTCACAACCATGCGGGTCATGTTCTGGATGCAGTGGGCTCTGTAGTTCTCGTAGTGAGTCTCCCGGGTGACGTCCTTCAGATCTTGCATGTGTGTGCGAACGAGCATGTTCCTCAGCTTCACGAAGTCACAGTGGGCCGAGTTCTCCACTGCAAAGTGGGAGTGAGAGGATCAGTCTCGACCAGTTGTTTGCACCGAACCAGCGCGGGCAACGCTCAACGAAAACGTGTGGAGAATCAAAGGAAGACGGGCATTCGTGCGGGCGGCGCCTCTAAAGGCGGACTGTACGTTCACGTGATGGAGGGGCGAGGGCCGGCCTACCTTCCACGATGCCCCAGGGATAGAGACGGCCTCGCACCCGCTTCCCTTTGGCCTCCACCACCGTGTTGCTGCCGATCACGGCGAAGGGGATGCTCTCCTTGTTGGGGGAACAGAAAACGGCCAAATTAAAATGCCGCCAGAGAGATGTGGCAGGCGAGTTACGGTTGGACGCAGTGCACGTGGGTTTACTTTGTCTTTTCCACATTTTACTCCTCGTTTCCATGTTTACTTTTAAATGACTCCTAAAATCCAGACTCCATTGCATGTCTTTGGTATGAATTATTTAAATAATTTCCTATTCAGACAGACGCAGAGAGACAAATACGGGCACAATGACGGCCAGCTTATGATGGAGAGCTAAACACGGTTGACTCATCTAGTCTGTGAAGTCTGCAGTGGACTGACTGCCAAAGTCTTGTGTTATACGGTGCAAGTATTCATTCAACGAAGTGCAAAACGTTTTCGGGCATGATCAGAAAATAAATGTGCAGTTTCTCGGGTTATTAAATTATCCACCTGAAGACAGCTGGCATCTCTGGCTCGTACCTTCAGCTGATGGTCCTGCTGCTTAAAGTCATCATCTTCGTCTGAGTCACAGTCAGGGAACTGGTATATCTTGATACCATACTGCTCGATCTCCTCTCGGATCTACGGGGAGACGAGCGACAAAGAAAGTACGGAGTGAAAAAACGAGTCCTGTGAATCTCTGCTAAGTAGGGACAGTGTCCTTTGAGGGAGGAGACACACATATAGATGAGAAGTCTTTTGACCGGGATCAGCCTTGCCTTGAATTTCTTCTTCTTGACCTCAGCAGGCGTGAGTGTGTCGGCTTTGGCCAAAATGGGGACGATGTTGACCTTCTCGTGAAGAGCTTTCATAAACTCCACATCCAGAGGCCGCAGGCTGCAGGAGACATGAAACAAACGTGTACACAGAAAGACGGTGAGACACAAATCCCTCAAAGTGAACCGATACAACGTCTATCTTAAGCCGACGTGAACAGCTGCCCTCCCTTAGTGACCTCTCGCTCTCTAATGAGTAGTGACTGACGCTCATCAACAGAGGGGGATGTTTCTCCGTCGCTGCACTTCTAGAATGATCGGCTGGAGGCAAGTTTGTTCTTTAATGAGCACTGTGATGTGGAACGACAACTGCAGCACAACTGCGGCAAAAAGCGCCGCATCGGCACAAACAAACGATTAGAGTCCTGCGATATAAATTCACCTGAAGGCGGATGAGAATCGCTTTAAACTTCGCGCAGCCGGCGGCTGCATTTAACAACTCACGGCACTGCAGGTAAAAAAACGGCATGAAACAGAAAGGTGGTTGTGTTTGCACAGAAAGGCAAAAGGTTGTATGTTGCCACGCACGCCATGTGAAAGTAAAAAGGTCGTCACTGTTCTGATGTAAACTCCTGCAGCACAGACATCACCACTGCAGCAGAGAGGGTTTGACATTCGACAGAGAGAGAGAGGGAGGCTAGCTAAACCCCAGGCAGCACCGAGGATGCGTCGTACCCGTGGCCGAAGGGCGAGATGAAGTAGAGGCAGCAGTGTACGCGGTTGTCCTGGATGTTCTTGCGGTTGAGGCCGCTCTCGTCCCTGAAGTACTGCTCGAACTGCTGGTCGATGTAGTCGGCCACGGACTTCCAGCTGGAGCAGAAGCACATGGGGGGATATTTAGTCTCCAAGGCAACGCACCCCCACGGCAACACCCGAAATACTGCGCGGGACTATTTATAAACACAACAAAGCTAAAAAGAGACTTTTTTTCCTCTTTGCTCTTTGAATATTTTCATTTTTTGATCATTGTCTTTCTTTTCGGGTTGATCCGTGAAGATGTTTGTCGTGTACCATTCGGTGTTGTTTACAGCATCCCCAAACCCGGGCGTGTCCACGATGGTGAGCTTCAGTTTGACACCTTTCTCTTCTATATCCACTGTGTGCTTGGTGATTTCTACCGTTTGTGTGATCCGCTCTACGGAAAGGACACAAACGCACCGCTGTCAATATCAGCCACGACACACAGGAGAGCAAATAGTGAGAAAAAGTACATCAAAAGCTCGGGCTCCCTCACCTTCAGCATTGAGCAGCTTCCTATCTTTGTAAAGATCTGTGAGAAAGAGACTGTTGACCAGGGTGGACTTTCCCAGGCCGGACTCCCCTTCAAACAAAAAACAACACAGAAAAAAAAAGCAAGACTTTTCAGTCTCTTTGAACTAAACAGCGGGCTTAAGATCAAATGCCTGCTAATGTGCACAGCGGGATTTACCTGCCACCATGAGCGTGAAGTCAAATCCCTTCTTCACTGACTTGCGGTGAACCTGGTTTGGCAGCGTTGCAAAACCCACATATTCCTTGCCCTGGTCCTGAAAAACACAAAGAAAAGATAAAATAAGACATCAGGGAAGCACACATTACCCTGCATGACTTGAACTATGCAGCTCTGTGATCAACCACTCCAAAAGTTTGACCCCTCAATCAACAACGAAAACGCATCACTACGACCTCAAAGCTCAAATCACAACCTGCTCCACCAGAGAATCAACCCTTTTTTTTTTTTAGGCCACGCAGCAACAACAAATTATAGCTCAGTCTGAGCATCAACAACAACGCGGCCTCCGCAGCGGAACTCAACCACACACACACACAACTCGTCCAGTCCCGGCCCCTCGTTACCTCGTTGTTGTTGTACGGGTCAAATGGACCCCAGGGACTCTTGGGCCTGGTGGGACTGATTGGGACCGACGACAAGTCAAACTCCGCACTTTGGCGCCGCGATAGTCGGGGTTCAGAGCGTGAACCCGACTGCGCCCGGGCCGCCGCGGGGAGGTGCAACTGTGACGGGGTGTGAGGGCGGTCTTTGCCCTCAGCCGCCCTGTCGGGCTCACGGCCGCGGGGGCCGGGGAGGAGGTCGGGGCTGTCGCGCCCTGCTGGGTGGGGAGGCTCTTGCATAATGTTCTCCACCTCCGAGTCGTCCGAATGGCATGAATGCTAGAGAGACGACACGGCGGAAGGGGTGCGTGAGGCGGAAACAAGTTCAGGTTGTATTGAGGAGGGGGAAAAGGGTCGAGATCCAGACGGGAGGAACATTTTAGAAACGGCTGCAATATCTCGTGGTGACGTAGAATGTCAGCATGTCAAAAGAAATCTTTCTCACTGTGTTTGTGTGTTATGTAATTGCGATAAAACTAATGTTGAATAAGCTGTGGCACTTGGATGTGCACTTAATCCCACATTCCTGGAAGCAGAGAGTGACTTTCCTACATTATAAACTATAAATGTCCTGACCACTTCAAGTCAATTTCGCAGTGCTAACGTAAAGCCAAAAGGCCTTTCCTCATGGTTATTAGAGGACGGGCATACAGGTTAAATCACAAAAATAAAATTAATTATAAGCTTTTCCTGAAAGCGGACACACAGAGGAGGTGTAGGGTGTTGTGCATACTCCAGTTACCACAAACTAATGTTTCCCTGCTAGTGGAGAACAGACCTAAATTATGCAATGGTCCACAGAAAGCATGAGGAATTAAATGAGGCAATTTAAATTCAGCAGTCGGCCCGTAGTGTGACTCTGCACCCGTATCATGTGGTAGATGAAGTTACGAGGCTGTATGTAAAATAACTATAATTATCTTCAGGGCTTAACAGGTAAAGTCTGCCACTATATGGGGGGTAAAATGAGGGGTTTGTTTTGGGGTTTTTGAGTGGGCCACATCACTGCTACCTGTTCAGCATCATGGTGATTAGGGGAGGCAGCTAAGGACTCGTGCTCGTCCGATGAAGCGTGAGCCTCGTGGGCACCGTCCTCCATTGCAACCGGGGACACGGTGTACTCTGCAATCTCACAACCAGAAGGGAGCAATCCCGCCCGGAGGGGGGTTTCGGGGCAAAGGACAGGGAGGGGAGGGAGGCGCAGGGGGTCCGCCACGAGGAAACAAGGTGCACAGGGATCGAGAGGCGACGGGACGAAAGGAAGGAGCGTTCAGGAAGGGCGGAAAACAAGACTGAAGAAGTGGGGAAAAAAATAAAATAAAGCAAAAGTTACAACATCGTACCATTTACCACAGGAAATTGCGTGATTGCAGAGAAGATACAAGTCACTAGGGGGATGGTTGAGCGGTGCGTAACGTCTTCCACCGGTGGCCTGAGTGCTTAATATTATTAGATCCTCTGATATCAGTCTAGTCAGTGTCTCAGGCACCAACAATGCACCATCAGACGCAGTGCCAGCAGATGAGATCATCTGTGCCACAATGTGGGAGCAAAGTAAAACGCAAAGAGTCAAACCTCTGCCCGAGTCGGTCCAGAATAGAGACACTCTGGAGTTTGATATCAGTGTGTAACCAAAAAAATAAACGTGACTCATTCCATTTCAGTCCCCAATACGTTTATGAGCTCCATTCAGGGCCGACAGTTTGAATTAAGCTGGGTACAGAGCTTCAGGGCAGAAGGGAAATTGATAGTTTGAAAATCAGTGACCTGCTTTCAATGTAAAATCAATGTCCAACGCGGTTGGTCCTGTGACCCACATAAACAAACAAAAAAATGGTGGACTGCAAAGCTCTGACCACTTTGGAGACAAACTGATCAGAACTATAATCCCATTTCCCTCCTATTTTGGGTGTTAAAAAGCAAACCGGCTGCGAGAACCACACCATCGGATGGAATCTGACAAAAAGAACATCACTACTGACGTTTCTACAGACGCAGCAGTCAAAACACACGAAAGCTTTCTTCTTTACGAAAGCTGCATCACAAACCCCCCCTCTCACGCGTGGCCTCACCTGTGGTCCCTTCAAAATCAGCACAGAAAAGCCTCCTCTCGTTGCCTCCGCGCGCACTGCTCGCCACGACCGCTGCAGCAGGAAGCAGCGAGCCGGCGGCTCGGGCATTTATACGCCTCCATCCCAGAGGACGCGGCGCCCTTCAGCACCATCGAGCCACTGGACTGATTTGGGACGGAATTGACGAGCCACGCGTCACGAGGCTGAACGCGCTCACAGCTTTGTAGCAGTACGAGGCGATTATCCTGTTAACACACCTTGATGGTTCAGCGTCATAATAAACCTCTATGGGGGATTGAACATGTGTCCCCCCCCAATGCTGCTCAACATCCCCACACCCCCCCCCCCCCCCCCACAAATGGGGTATCAAAAAAGAATTCTCTAACTTTTGAATCGATTTAACAAAAAACATTTAAAAGGGGGTTGCCTCTCAATTCCACATTGGTTGTGTATTTTCTGTTTGACCACTTTCCAAAGGTGGCTTCTCTTAATGTGGACCCTTCGAGGGTCCTGGGTCACAGCTTTCGTCTGCAAGCCAAACTGCTCGTTCTTTAAATCTAAAGCCATGAGGCATCGGCCTAGTTTCCACTGAGCACTCTGAAGTCAGAACGTTTTCCTCTCCAACTGAACGAGCCAGGTTATCGGCCCCTGCTGTGTGATTATATATTCAAGTTAAAAATACACAGGGAAGGAATTTCATTGTTTCATGCATGTCAGCCCTGGAGGCCAAAAACACATTTTCTCTTAAGCTCTTAATTTGATATCCTGACAGTCAACTGGGGGGGACAAAATAACAAGATGATGTGATGCAGCCCACAAAAAGGCTCCGGGTTTGACATTTGTGATCGCGCTCCTGCCTTGAGGAAAACCAGTATGGGAGAATCATTATGCTTCAGTAATCAAACAGATCCTACAGAAAGAGATTTAATCCGATTCTTACTTTCAGCACTTTTTACACATGCAAATATTTCCACTAGTCGTGAGCTTTATGAGGCCTTTTCAGATTCCCGCTGAACTTCTGTCTTCCACATATCCACCTCTTCCCACGTGGAGGTCTCAAGTCTGTGCTACTAACTCGTCAACTCTAAAGACACAAAACTGTTGTTACAAATTCTAAATGGCCCCAATGAGCCAACATGGCTCATAAACCCACTTTTAACTACGGAGTCAAATAAAAAAACATGATCATTTGTTGGAATTCATCCGAACGTTGGCGGACAACTTTAAGTAAGTTTGCTCACAGTTGAGTGTAAATAACATCATCCAAAGTCAAACATGTACTCTCTGCCAACAATCAATCTTTTCTGTGCTCAGCCAATAGAAAACCAACACCAGGCTATCGTGTGTGTAGCAGACAAACCAATATACTGATGAAACACATGATTGACTTTCCAAGCGAACATCAATCGGGCTCTGGTGAGACAAACTAACTCAGTCACAGCGGAGACCTGAACCAAAAACAATTTCCATAACCAGCCAAAACCGACATTTCAGTTCCTCTTGAGGGTTTGTCCACTGTGACAAATAAGCAGCCTCCATACGCTGGGATGCCGTGCAGAGTTTGTCAGTGAAGTAAAGGGTCGAATAAACCCTCAGACTCCGGAGAGGCACAATGAAGCCACCGACACACGGCTGGAAATGCTTCAAACACGCTAAAACAACAAACAAAACACTTCATGGGTATTTTGGTACAAATAAGTCTTCAACTAACTCAAACGTCTTCGGGTTTAAAGACTCTCCCACATTGCTGAAACCCAGTTCAACCTGAACGTGCACAAAGTCGTGCGGTTTACGTCTGCTTTGTTGGTGTTGGCTGCCGCGGTGCTGACGGATGATGATTTGCTGCATGAATCGCAGCTCTCGGGTGGGAAATGCTCCCGCTGTGTGACATGGGAAATTGCCAGAAGTCAAAGAAACGAAGCAGCACGCCGTTGTTGACCTCCTGTGATGAAAGCACATTCCAGCTTGGGAGGAAACGCAGTCGACAGTCATTTATAATCCAGCTGCAATAATTACTATGCTATTATTCAAAGAAAGCTACATCATTTTAGCTTGGCATGCTTTGCCCCAGCTGGCAGGAATGCATTCATAATAATAAGTGTGGGACACGAGGGACATGAGGCATAAAGTGGGGCCGCAGCAGAAACGCATTTCTACACACTGTGATCTTAAGCTCTGGTTGCATTTGCATTTTTTTTATTCCTATTGCAAAAAAGTGAATGTTGTGGATGGCAAAGGGTGAATACCAGCGAGGTTTCCCTGTTGTAGTGCAGTAGCAGGTGGTGAAGTGAGACACGTGCGCCCTGTTTGAATGCTGCAGGTTATTTCGTTTGTTATAGCGGGACTCTGTGTGAAGCTGCCCCAGAGGGGGACACAGACATAAGTAGTCCCCCTTCACCACACACACACCTGCAGCTACAGAGCGGATACATCTCCATGTGACCGAAACTTCCCATGAATTCAGTAAAACAGAATTCACAATGAAAACCTCCATTCCCTGTGTGCCAGATTGGGGTGAAAAGAAGCCACTCCACCGTGAGGTTCCTGCAGCTCTGCCCCAAAGGAATTCCTGTCAGTGTCTCCCACCATCAGAGATGCTCTCGATGCATTTAGCTGTCACATCGGATCAATAAACGTGGGCTTTAACATCTTAAGAGGTGGACGGCGGGGAAAAGCTCCACACGGTGTCTTTGCACTCACGTGGGAAACAAAATAAAAACCTCTCACTGGCTCCGCAGAAAAAATGATAAGTTAGTGAGAGAGCACAAAGCCATGTCACATGCAGTCGTACGTACGTGGATGATCGACACCCGGGCACATGTGCACTGTATATGAAACTGTAGGGAAAATCTGCAGCCACAGTTGGTAAGGAAAAAAAAAAAAAAAAACAGCGGCCCACAAACAAATTGTAGCATTAGCAAAAAAAAAAAAAAAAAAAGCAGCAACAAGCACATACCTCTGCATGGTGTGAGTGTCGAGTGTTTGGTTCCGTTTTTGCTGCCATATTATCCGTTCAGAACCGGTACTCCGTTAGTTGCAAGAGAGATCAGCAGAAAAAAGGCCTTCGTAGGGCTCCTTGAACTGAATGTCACTTTTCCACTCGTTTCAGGGAACCCCACGTTACATAAGCACACCTATTTTCCCCGCCTCACCAGTCAGATGGCATTCAGTTCTGTTCCAACTCCCCTCACCCCCACATACTTGATCTGGAAAGGTCTTTTTTTTTTATTGTATAAACCGGTACACAGGTCGATGTGTGGCACTCTGCATCTGGAGGATTTCGACAGTCCCGCCCAATCTGCGAGCTGATATGCAGATGAGCTGCCTCACATCACAGACTTCTTACAAAGGCCGTCACATCCAACCCAGACCGTCATTGCCGGGGCCCGGGTGGTACCAGGCAAATCTGTGAGAGTGTGCGTGTGTGTTCATGATGGGGAGGAGAGGTGACTTATGGCCTAAATCTTTGTATCGAACACACACACACACACACACACACACACACACACACACACACACACACTTAAATGGGCCACAGCACAAATCCTTTCCATTAATCTTGGTAGTTCTCTGAGCCTGGCAAGTCTTACAATACTCACACATTCTTAAGGAATGCGGATTTTGTGATTACGTTATTGCGTTGGGTGTTGTAGAGACGCGAATGGGCTTAATGACTCTAATCTATATACTGTGTGGCGTTTAAAAAGAGATATTTCTCAACCACACATACAGAGGGCACGGTTTGAAAAGTCCAGCGTGTGCTTGGGATAGAAACTTCAGTATTTCAGTTTGACTTGGGAAAGAGAAAAGGAAACAAAATGCACAATTCAGCAGGGAGTTGATTTTCTGCTTATGGGAGGAAGAAGTCGACGTAACGCGATCCCAATCTCAACAGCTCACGCCGCAAAGTGTGCCAACACAGCAGTAATGACTACCATAAGTAGGAGCCGGGGAGCAACACAAACAGTATCAGGTCAACAGACCCGCCAGTCCAGCCAACCACACAGTCGGCAAATCCCCCTCAATGTGACACGCACGGAGGAGGCCGTGATGAGGGGGGGCAGCGTTTCGTCTTACGGACGGGAGGCGTTACTTCCTGTCGGGAAAGACTCCGGGGAGACGAGTTGAGGTCCGCCCACGGACCTCTCTGGCCGGCGCTCATCACCAGAGCGATTAACCCGGAGCGCCTGAAAGGGCTGACGGTGCCCGAGGGGTGGATGGCTTTTAGATACACAATCTCAGGCCGCACACACACACAGCACGTGACAGGGAAGGGCCATCTCTGGTGGCGTGAGGGTCACATGCCCGGTGGTAATTAAGATGGTATTTCAGAGAAGATCCAAGCCAACGGAGCGGCTCGTCCCCACAGAGCCGGACTGTGTGCGTTGTGTGTGTGTCTATGTGTGTGTGTGTGTGCGTGTGGAGCGCCAAATGACGTCTCTACTTGTTGTAGAGCGTGCAGCTGTGCCCCATGGGGAGCACGCAGCGGAGAGAGGGCAGTGCCACCTGCTGCTCACGACTGGAAAAGAAACAGCTGGACTACAGACGAACAGCTGCTGAAGTGGCTGCAGGTGTGCTGCATGGCACACACACACACACGCGCGTACCTGTCTAGATGCGCACATATGTGTGAAATTATGAAGGAAAAGCTTTTCTCTTCACTGGGAATGATGAGTTTGTTGTGACAATATGGTCTCCACTACAAGTTCACGGTGCACACGCCGGCTCCGCACACACAAGCTGGAGGAAAGAAAGGACGACCCGTTTCAGTTTGAGGTCAACAGAAAAATATGCAGAAAACACGCAGAAACTTTGAATTGGATATACATTTTCTCCTGCACAGTGTGAGAAAGTGGGTGAACGGTGGCTGGGTGCCGACGCCCTCTGAAGCAGAATCCACCAGGAACATAAATATTGTTCAACAATGGCGAAGGACGACGGACCCGCTGAACTTACACTTCCTGCACTTCCTCCTCCATTCAATTAAGGGCCTTTATCGGACATCGAGATTCCTGTTGGAAAGCGGCTGAAGCCTTTTTCTCGCTTTGTTTTTTCCCCCTT